TCCCTCGGTCCCTTCGGTCCCTCGGTAGATACACATATTTCCCTTGGGATAAACCCTGTATCCAAAACCTCCCAGTACATAACCCTTATATATATTGCCATTTTAATATTTATCTCTACTTTATTTGCACAAACGTGTATATTGTATGGATTTGTATTGCTTTGGCATTGATTTGTTCCTGCTTCAATTTTTGTCATCTATTTTATATTTGTATAATATTCGATTGGATATATTTGAGAAGGTTTAATTTCTCATGCAGAGTGTTCGTTATGTATTTCTTTTAATTTCAACGCTCTTTGGTAGAAACTTGAATGTTGATTAGTACTATGAACGTCAAAAGAGGAAATAATTTCAAGTCATCACTCAAAGAAATAGAAAAATCAGTCATAAGGACAACAAATCCCAATATCCAGATATACTACCTAAGTCACAAACATAACACTCCTACGACCAATTTCGTGACCAACATATTTGGAAACTGACTAAAAGCATGAAATGGGGAATTCCGTCGTACAATAAGAGTCAACAAAAACAAACCCATTTCAGATCTATTATCTAACGGTTGAATAAACAATATATAATAATCAATTCGGTGACCAACATGTTTGGAAACCCACTAAAAGCACGAATTGAGAAATTTCAACATACAATTAATGAATGAGTCAATAAAAACCGGGATTAAAACAAACCATTGCTGATCTATTATCTAACAGGCAAATACACAATATCTAATTACCACTTTGGTGACCAGAATATTTGGAAACTGACTAAAAGCACGAAATGAGGAATTTCGACCAGACGTATATAATTGATGAATAAAAGTCAACACAATCTTTACGCCAGGCAATATTAATGAAACACCATGATCAAGCGATTACTTAAATAAGTCCATGGTGACATTATCTCAAAGTAGATTTAGAATATGTCAGGAATTGCTATCAAAGCAATCTGTCCGAAACAGCCTAATGATATTAATATAAAATTATCTCCAGCAAAACTTACAGTCAACCTCCTTGTGGAATAACCTAGAACCTATATTATAATCTTATTTGTAGCAAATCTGAACTGATAGCTCCCTTGTGTGTGATATTGCTTTTCAGGAAATATAACAAATTGAAAAACGCCACACAAACATCGAGATACACGGATTGGGATGTGAGCCTCTTTTTGCAGGGATGTCCATGGCATATCTAATTTTAAGAGAGAATCAGATATAGCGAGCAGGCTAAACAGAAAATTGTTTCAATTTTAGAATATTTTTGGCTCATGTCGTTCCTTGTCATGTCTATTTTCAAAAATATCACAAAAGTGCATACTTTATTCCAGGAAAACTAAAGATTTTTACAATAATGTATTATTTTTCTTTAAGAATGGTTACCTTTCTTATTATTTGGGACAATTTAAACATTTTCAGTCATTTTTGTACATTAAATCATCAATAACTTCACCAATTTATAACATATTGTGAATCTTTTGGGAGATTTTGTATTTGATATTGTAAGGAATAGATTGGTAGGTCAATTACACATGTTGCTTGTAATTTTGTCACCGCCTATATATCAGATTCTGCCTTTAATCATCTGTTATTTATCCACTGTCCCAAGTGCTTACCTGAAAGTAATATATTAGCTCATCAATTGTAATAGAAGAGTCGAATGATGCTGCAAATGATATACAGGGTAGCACAAAAAAATGCCACCCTCTAAAAGAATATCAAAATATTATTTGATAAACGCAAGATAGAAAAATCTGTTCCGACAACTTAAGAATGCCGTATTAATTAAGCTTTTTCAAAAGCTTAGAAAGTTTTCAATACGTCATCACAAAATAGATAATAACTTATACAATCAATTACGTACTGGCCTGTGAATGGAGACATGAAAAGGCACAGGGTGTCCGTAAAAGGCTGGTTAGAAAAATAATCTTAGCTTGTATTCGCGAGTGCAACTTTTTATTGACATGTTTCGATTTTAATAAAGTAAATAGGTGCATTTTAAGGCCTGGTTGCGAGGACCTTCTGGTAATTTCCGTGCTTTTTCTCATAATATCCGTTTTTGTTCTAACATTCGAAGGTCACAATCTTATCAAGAAAGCAAAATAAATACAAGATGCTTGATCTCAGGAAAACATGTGTTAACCCAAGTATAGCCCATAAGGTTTCAATTACGAAGCCATAAGCAAGAACATTAATGTCAGTAATGTGCTATTAACATCCATGATTGCTTCTCATACTGACATGACACTTCTCATAATTGTGGAATAGAAGTCTGCCTCATGTTTACAATGATATAACATATACAGCATATTGTATTTTACATTTTTAAAAGACAATTCAACTTTCAAATTCCTTAGTTTTATGCAGGGGGGGGGGGGGATTTCCCAAAGATGACCTTTCATATTGGCACGTTTGAAAACAAAGGCCTACAGAAATTGTGAATTGTGTGACATAGAGTGACCCGCCAACCCAAAAGTTAAGTGACATGCTGATGTTTGCTGATATTTTACAAATCAACAATTTGGCATGTTATGTAAGCATTTTTTTGCAAACTTATTGAACGACCTGTATATGTCCCTTACCAACTGACCAATATTTCAAATGATCGATTCTCTCACAAAGCTCAGTGTACATTATGATTAGTATTCCTTCAAGATCCCGAATCCCTCCTTTCCCTACTTCCAGCTCAGACATTTCAGCAATCGCATTAAGTAAACTGCAATAGATAAGGCTATACTACTTGCATAACAATTACCTGTTACCGAGATACATTAAATACTTAAATTAATTCATTGAACCTATTCCTTTATAAGCTTCTTTATTCTGCTTTATATGTATATTATACATAGAACTTATAAGATCAATGTTATATTTATGATATACAGCTGCTATCGTATACTTTATGCAGATTTTACAATTTTCACCCCCGATTGAAAATGTTCCTATTCCTTGATTTCTCAATCCAAAGAGATATCCATTGCATGTTCCCTCATGACATACCTTTTTTATTAAAATGTATGGATAAACGCTCAATTTCAGCATTAAGAAGTGTAAATTCAGTTCATAGATTTTTAAGATTCACCACGTTTCAAGAGGTATATCAGCTGAAATAATGTTCATCCAGGGGGTTTCTTTGAAGATAATAAAAATATATGTTAGTCTTGATGAAATATCCAAACTTATTTTGACACTGGTCGAGGATCGTTGAATGCCCCCCCCCCCCCCCTGCGCTAATTGTTGCATCTTTAAGTTATATTTCTTAGGATTCAACATCTTTGTGATGTTTTAATCGATGTTAGTTAGTTAATCAATTTAAAAACAATGAAACAAATATCTTGATGTAAAATAACAAGCTATGATAGTGGTTAAAACGCCGGAAATGAACATGATAATATTCGAAGCGTATTTCGAAACATTTGAGGCCGCCATTTTCAAGGTTTGTCGATTGTGACGTATGTCATCACGCCCAAAGATTTCCCAAAGATGACCTTTCGTATTGGCACGTTCGAAAACAAATTTTATTAACAGGCCTAATTTGCCATTGATATGGATCTCCAAATGTTCGCTGTAGTTTTATGAGTATTCTCTTCAAGTATGGATCGAGTAACTTCAATTGTATTACCGTAGGTTTGAAATGATGATGTTGAACTGATGTTAACGCCATTCCCTCGATTTCAAATTTAACTAAGTTTAAGCACTGAGAGAGCATGTGCTCATGATTGTTCACGTGATCACATCCTGCAATTTGATTGGAGATGATGCGGGTGATGACGTCATGGGGAATCCCCAAATACGATAGAATATGAAAGAATTGTGGGAGCTACTCACTTCCTCTGGTTTACTTCAAATATTTAACTTTTTGTGATGGTTTTGAGTTTGAAATCTTTTGAAAATCATCCAAAATTCGGACAGGTGGTGGAAAAAGCGGTCATATCTTTTTATTTCAATTGCCTTTCTATGCAAAAACATTTTCAGTTTTAAAGGGGACATGTGGATCCATCTCGTGGTATATTGGATTAGGTACCGAAAATCCTCGTTTTTTCATAATTGTTCCGAAGATTTCAATGTTTCCTCGATTGTATTGTATTAGAGCATTGTCTGTGGAATATTAACCCTAAATCAGAACAACCTAAGAGATAACGCCGTTTTAAATGGGTGTTAACAGAAAAGGAGGTGAGTTGTAGTGACACTATTAATTGCCGTAATTGTAAGATATCGGATAATATAACTTTAAACTTTCGCCCCTTGAATCTATTAAAGAATAAGGAGGTATATGAAAATGAACCCCGTATCAACATTAGCTTATAATTTCTATAGAATTATCACCGAAACCTTATAAAACGGATTGTTACATTTTGTAAGTAAATTCATATTATATTATATGCTTTGTTTTGTCTAAATCTGTCTGTTTTTGTTAGGTTTCTGATATCTAATCATTGACGCGTACAAAACAAAGTATTATAGATCGCACTCTAGAAAGATAATATGAAGATAGCGATAGTGATGCTTTGCAACATTTGTGTAATGTCAAAGGGATTAGAGATGAGCTACAGAATTAGTATTTATGGCACTGTATATTGTTCAGAAAAGATCTGGGTGTATGATAGCTCGTGGACAAGGGCTTCCATAGCTTTTATATAAACGTAAGGAAGATCTAAGATAACTTTTCAAAAGGGCTCATCACTAGGGGGAGTCACTCCGTTAAGAACAAAGGTCTCCCTCAGAGTCCATTTTCATATAAGCCCGCTCCCTTTATTCATGTATTAACATTGAACTATTGGACATAGTTTTAATAAACACATTTACAAAGAAATATAGAGGAAACCAGCACACAAACACAAAAACAAACAGTAGCTTACAATACCTTTGCAATTGGAAACTCTGCGAGCTTGTTATTTGTGTCATGTTATGATGTAACAGTGATATGTGAATAATATCAGTTTCTCTAAGATATCGAACGAATATTTGCAAGCATGGAAAGCAAGACATATGCATCATTTTTTATGTACATGTACCACGCTTGACCGCATCTTGCCCCGGCGTGATAATAATAACATTTATTGGTATTTTTAAAGTTTAAGTCAACGGTAAAAGAAGACCACATGAATATTATATATCTCTACAACCTTGATTCACAACTGAAGGTATTTATAGATTAGTAAAATAGAACTTATGTTATCGCATTATGACTTTAAGTATATACGAATGTGTAAATTCTCTATGCTGAATAAATATAATGCTATTTATTTGTTATTATTATATACCTCAAATGTATTCTAGATGCTCATTGGCTTATTCATGGTCACATGATATGGAATAGATGAACTTATTCCCTGGAAAGTCCTAAATCCCCGCTTTCAGGGAAGATGAATTGTACTAATCACCAGTTAGGTCATGTGACCAGTCAATAGTACGTTTTATCTTCCCCCAAATCTGAGATTATAGGAGTTGAAAGGTAAAATGCATTTAAATGCCAATAAGAACCTGTGAACATTTGATATTGAAATGAAAAGACTTCTCATTTTGTTTTTTTTACAGAGTACTATCAGGTATATAATAAAACAAATAGTGACTGCCACATTTTCGGGAAATAGTGTAAAAATTTTCCTCTCGGGAATATCCTGTCCACTGACTTGTTCCCTCGGCCTGCAGCCTCGGGAACATGTCAGTGGACAGCATATTCCCTTGAGGAAAATATTTTGCACTATTTCCCTCAATGGCAGTCACTATTTGTATAATAGGTTATGTCAAAACCGGTTAGATATATCGAATATTACGTATACCTTTGATTTTGTGAAAGACAAATAGAAAATCTGTACACGAATGCAAATATGTTTAAAGATATGCTATACAGATATGTAGGTCAGTATTACATAATCGTGAAATGAATAAGTCTGAATATATCATTGGTCAGAAAACACTAAAACCTGCTTGAAACTGTAAAAGTTTATACACTCTATTCCACACTGTATAGAAATAAAATAACTTACACTATAAGTAACTGTGAGCCAATCATTGCATAGAAAAAACTTTATGCACTGTTTATAAGATTCACTGAGACAAGTGGGTCAATACTTCCTGTACTTTATGTGCTCTCACACAATTACCTTCCCTTGCATAAAGTTGCTGTACAGTTATATGTAACTGAATATTGTATATTCATCACAAACAACCTTAGCAAAATGATGGTTCGACGAAATGGACGGTTCGCTAAAACCAATAAACCAGGCAATCCAGGCCAATTTGGAAAGAAACTAGATAGCGTGACAGCGAATGAGGATAGTAAGTGAAATATATTTTGCAAAGGTCAGCTTGTAAACTACTGGGTAACCCTAAATGATGAGAAATATGTACAAAATATGTTTTGCATGATTTATTCATATCCCAATGATTTAACTCCTTCACTGCATCTAATAAGGTATATACTTAGATGGTTCAAAAAGTTTTGCAGTTGATGCCATAACTTAAAGGAAAATAGGACTTTTACAATGAAACTTGGTACACATATGTGTTTTACATTTATACATTATATGTTAAAAGGAAGAGGTGCGATTATTGGCAAATACCCCTATGGTCAAAATGAATAATTGTTAGGTGTAACATGAAGAATAGAATGTCATATAACTCTTTGGAAAATATTAAAATGCTCGGGCACACATACAGGCTGAGATAGGGGCCATTTAGTTGAGTAAGGTTGTATTGCCTTACATGGGGCTGTGCTTCATTGATTTGACATGAGGATATCAGCAGATCCCAATAGAGGCCATTGGTTTCTATTGATTATCACACAAATACCAAAAATACACTATGACCTGAATCGATTGCAAACTTAATAATTTCATAATATGGCACTAATGGTTTATCTCATCAAATGTGCAAATATGAAGTTTGCAATCGATTCAGGTCATACTTAAAATTAAAAGATTGTACATTTTTTCATCATTTTTTCCCTACAAAATGGCTATAGAAAAATGCTCCAAAAACAACTTTTACACTTATCAAAAATCATACAACTTTGTAAAACCAAAGAATATACTATTTTATTTCATTATGTAGTAACATATTTGGATAAGATGTAGGGATGCGTAGGATGCAAATGGATTTTGACAGACCCAAAAATACTTCCTGGTTTGGAATCATATGCCTCTACACTTCATGATTGAATTATGACCCTAATAAGTGGCCTATACATCAATACAGTGCTGAATATAGGTCAACAAGATATTAGTGTGCATATAAATGTAATAATTAAAGCAGAATACTCATTTTGAAAAATCAGATGAATTATTTTTTTCTCATGGGGAGATCCCAATGGAGGGTGTATAAGGTCCTTTGGGACCTCAATTTTGATTGGTTCTTGAGAGATGGTTGCTAAGGTAACCAGAGTGGTGGGTACCATGTTCAACCCGATATTATGTTTTTCCAAATAGTTTTCTTGCTTGAATAAACTCTTTGCAAAGTGGCAATTAGCAGGTGTAAGTGTCTTTGGGTGGCTATTTTTCTTCAAATTCTTCAATTTTTTGCTAGCTGTCAACACATTCTGGCAATGCTTTAATTTTAATAGAATTATTTTAATATTTTACTAACTGTATAATATGTAGTTTGCATTACTGTTGATAAATAAATAAATGATTGCACTGTTCAGTAAAGAAATATACCAATTGTATTATTTAAACTGACTATACACTATAGAAATGATTTTCATTGAAAAATCAAATCAGTACCAAAATTATGGTTACCCTGTAGTGGTGAAGGGAACATTAAAAATGAACATCACCCCCTTCAATCTATTTTTACAGGTTTTTATGATTATTTCAGATTTTTCTATAGTTTGCCTAACCAGGACGGTGAATTTTCTTCATTTTTCATCAAACATTTTGTCTTACCAATATTTATTATATCTGTCAATTTTATCAAAATCGCGCCGCTACGTTTGAAAATAATTCAAATTATGTAGTTTTTCCCATTGAGCTCCATTATAAAAATGGAATTTTCAAACTTAATATTTTAAAATTCTACGCGGTGAAAAGTTGCATATTGAGTAGTTAGTAAATGTTATGGTGTTAAAAATTCAAAACAAAAAGGAATAAAGAAAAAATGCCACAGAGAAGTCTCAATAGAGTATCTTTAAAAAGAAAAATGAAGAAAATAAATACTATTAAAGGAGTTGGGTAAACTAGCAACAGAAAGTGCCCCAATTGAAGTGTGAAAAAACTTTTTTTAAGAATAGGAGAAAAAAACATCAGAAATGCATAGATTGAAGTCTATATTTTTGGGTAGTATTTTTTTAAAAAATTAGAAAAAATTGTTACGGTGTCTGGAGACCTTCAAAGAGGGTGGGGGCCAGAAGGGAAAAAATTCACATATTTTGCAACCCTCTTGATGAATTCCAATTTACTCAGCTATGAATGAATGTTTTTGATTTATCTGTCCAGGATTATGTAAATATATATTTATTTGATCCATACATACAATTGATTTAAACAATATGTACAGTTTAGAGGTAAGTAAAGCTTTGAAAGGACATTTCATGCTGAGTCTGGGTGACATTTTTATTCACTGGAGGTAGTAATCCTTTGAGTGTTTTCACATGGAGCATAACAAGTCTCCACTCTAATAAGTGCTTCTTTAGTTACATAAATGTTATATTGTTGCATACAAAGAATAATTTTGATGGAGACTTATTATGCTCGATGTGAATTTTAGAACTTTATAGAAAATTTTGCCTGCCATTTTTGTTGATTATTCAAAATGGCCAAATGCTATTCATGCTAATAGATGCTAATAATGCCCTGCCTGTTTTCCCAAGATTAAGTGAAGACTATTTAAGGGGGTTAACAATGGGTGTATATCAGCTTAAACAGGCTAAATCATACACAAACGAGCATTTAACACAGGGGAAATATGATATAACAATTAATGCAGCAGCGCCTGACCTCTTAAGAGCAAAAATTCAATCAAGGCATACAGGTAGCAAACAATACACGTTGTATATTGAATATAATCCAGACTCAGTAGACCCAATAACTGGGTGGTACTGTGAATGTAAGTCTGGGGCAAGGGTGGTCGGATGTTGTGCACATATAACCACTGTCATTTGGTATATAGGCTTCGCTAGGCACGAGGGCTACAAAGCCAAAGAAAAACCTCTGCAAGGGCATTATAAAATTTTAGATGCTAAAATACCTGAAACATCAAGTGGTTATATGTGCACAACATCTGAATCAGGTAGTTCAAGTGATGATGAGTAAAACTAATCAGAAAATGTTTCATTGTTATTTCATTAACAAGCCAATGATGAAATGTGTTGAGATTTTAGATGTTTTTCACCCTTTAGGTGATCTCCAAGAAGTGATTATCTCCGTTATCTGTACATTATCAGAATGATTGATAATAAACTTAATAGTTGCTTTAAAAGTATGTTGAATAATATCATTATGTTGAATTATAATATATACAGTGTGTGTGTTTAGTGTGTGGTTTTTAGCATACCCTATGTCGCTAACAGGAAGCAGGACATATTTCTCATAAAAAATAAACCTTACTTTACGAGTCAAATCATGAAATGTACATTCTGAATTTAAATGAATTAAAAATAATAAAGTATTTTCATTATTTTAGGTACTTTTGTTCTCTTTCAGTGTTGCGTGGGAAGGGCGGAATATATTAATATAAATATCTCATTATTGGCAAATTGCCAATTTACTATATATTGTAATTCCAACCTCTATGAGACTAAATTCCTACAGATATTTGTGATATTTTAACCAAAAAGGTATATTTTGGTAGAAAATAATGATTTTTTTAATTTGACCTTGACCTGGGGAATATGACCTTGACCTAAATTTTCATACATTTTTGAAACACATATATCACATAGATTAATAAAATAAAGAGAAAACTTGAAAATCAGGTGGGGCTTAAAATGGCCTTGTTTACCCAACTCCTTTACAATATGTATGCTTTTCTTTTGGAACACGTGGATCACTTTTTTGGATCATCGTATTGTATTTGTCAATGCAAACGAGGGAATGCATGATTAATTGACGTATGTTTTCCCAAAAAGTAATATTTGAAAATAACATATTATCTAAATCCATTTTTATTTCAAAGGCACCTGTTACGACATGCGCAAAAACAGTCATGAAAGATCATATCGAATTCCGAAAGGTAATCCTTCATATTCCCCAACATTACTTACAATACTCGCGCAATCTATATGACACGGTAAAAGCCATGCAAACGCGACGGTGACAAACTCTGTTAAACAAAAGTGTATAAAAATAATATTAACGGTTATATAAACGATTGGATTTGATTAGTATGACGTTTAGTAGTGTAAAATCCTGTTTTCAAATGAGCAAATAATTTAATCAATATACGTGGCGCGATTATGATTAATGAAAACACAGAATTAAATCCCGCGCTTAATCGTGGTGAAATATTTTATGTAGTGGGAAAAAGTACTCAGACTACTTCACTAATAGTCCAAGGTAATAGTCTGAGTAATTTGGCCTAAAATTAAAAAGATTACCCACCCAGTTATGCCCAAAATTGGCCCACTAATCGAGGCCCTAAAGCTATGTGTTCGGAGAACGAGACAAGAGTATACTGCATCATTATTGTTTGTTGTTCTGATGGGGTTTTCCTTGGTCGATTCCGTCGTATCACTACGTATAGGATGCAATTATTCGTAAAACATATCGTAAAGATATTAATATTCACTGTCGCTGTTATATGAAACTAATATCCAAATCGCAGGGTTCCCTAAGGTAAAATCTAATTAGAAATGTGATTTTGCTGCAATAAATTGTCATTTTCGCTTAATTGCTCATAAAAGTAACATGTCTCTAATGTTGCACTGTTGTTCTATCTGATATCCCTCCGAACAAAATACACAGAATACGTAAACATAATTTACGTATATCCAATAAAATGACCTCTTATCCCTAATTCCCTATAATCCCTCTAATCCCTATTGGCATACTGATGCTACAAGCAATTGTCCTCGAGTAGAATACATAACGGTAAATATACTGCGGCTTCTTAGACAGTATTTATATTGAACTAATATTTTACCGTTTATTTCCAAGTTAATAGTTTTTTATCCTTGATTTGATAAGAAACCAATGCAAGGCAGGATGTTTGTGTGAAAGAAAGGTCGAAAGTATCTATTGTAAGCTATGTAAATTGGTAATAATATTTCCAACTTTGGAATTTAAAGATATAACGTTTTCCGTCCAGGTATGCTCTCGGTGAAATCATCAGAAAATGTTAAAAAATCAATTTCCTGATATTGGAATTTCTGTCTTTAAGGCCCGATGTAAAGTTTAAACCACTTTGGCTTATATTGTAGTCTTACCCAATGTTATCAAAGTGTGATATGTGAAACTTTTTTTTTTAATTTCAAAAAGTGGTTTTTGATAGACTTTTTGTTCCAAAATTTGTGAATTTATTTAAAACCAACTTTTAGAGGTCACTCATATCTTCTAATTAGCCATAATTCATACCAATGCATAGCATTCATCCTCCCATGTTTTTTGCCGAAAAAAAGAAAATCGGTTGATAAACAAGCGAGAAATGAACTTATCAGTGCATGAAAATGGTTCTGAGAAAAATGCGTTTCAAAATTTTAGTTCTCATAGAAACCAATGGTACAATGATATCTAAAACATAATTTATTCTTCCTTTTAACCTGGTTAGACAATCAACATTGTTTTTTTATGAAAGTCTAGCTTATTAGAAAAGATCGACATAGAAAAAAAAAATTTCAATTTTTTCAAAAAGTTCTTGCTACCTTAGTGACATCACTAATGTTTCAAAGTATTTTGATATGCTAAAACATTGAAGTGGCCCATTAAATATGGCATTTTATTATTGAAATAGTGTGTCCTTTGTTCAATCTTTGAATTGGTGTTAAAAATATAATCTTTTTTGAAATGCATTATGAAATATTTGATGATTAAGAAATTTCAACTTTTTTTTAAAAATGGCGGGAAATTTGAATATTTGAGAAATGAAATGCTCACAACTTTTTTTTCCAAAAACTTTTTTTGTTCAAAAATCTCTAAAATCACTTTTTAAGTCCTGACAAATAGTAAATGAATGATAAAAAAATATTTTCAAACTTTAGACGGGGACTTTAAATAATTTTGTCAAAATTGATGAACTGACTCGATCGCTTATTGGGTAAATTTTAAGACAGGCAGATTTACTTGGCCGATTCCGTCGTATCACTACGTATTTGTAAGACAGGCAGATTTACGCATTTACATGTTTGAGTGATTTGGTGTCAGAGCATGCCTCCACGGAAAATGAGGTATCTCTAGAATTCCAAGATATTAATCCAATGAAAGCATACGAATATGTCATGCACTGAACACTCTATCGACACATAAAAAATCATAAAGTTTCTTTGATTATTGAGAAAGTTATTCCAAAATCAGTGGGTGCCATATATTGTGTCACCCTGTACCTTTTTAAAACCCTGTCAGTCACTTTAAGTTACACCAAAGAAAATATGTAGGTTGCATGTATCAACGTTTACAAACATTATTCTAAGAAGTTTTTCAATCAAAATTCAATAGCAATAAGTTAATCGCATTTTTTTATTTGAAATAGTCCGACATGTACCCGTATGACCCGTAACCCATGTTCCATGTTTCTCTTTACGTTCCAAAAATGGCATGTTTACACGCAAAACGCCAAACTGAATATACATTCAGATAAAAATGCTTCTTTCTGAACATATTTTGTAATTCCAACCTCTGAAATCATTCAAATACTCGTTCAAGTAGTTTCCTATCTATTATTGATATGCCCATTCTTATCAACATTGATTTCAGATCGATGATTTAATATTTGTGCCAATGCGGTCAATCAATGTAAGTACTTGATTTCCACATGAGAAAAATGTCAAACTTGGCTATAAGCTTCTATAAGTCGTATACAATTACCAATACAGCATACTCGAAGCAAGACATCTAAGAATATACACACTCCCATTGACGTACCCTATTCCAAATCAAATGGGAAAGAGCGTACTCGTTCACTGTCAATTTCCACACCAGATGTTACGACTTCGTCGATTTTTAACTCGGGGCTGTAAAGTCCACCGTACTCTTTGAGAAATATATCAGGGTCGATGACCATTTCAGGAAAGGCAACCCCGGTATAGTCGATTTCCTTTCTTAAAAGCATTATAGCTGCTATGACGAGCGGACATCCTGTGATGGCCCCCATGTCTAAATAATCTTGACTGTTGGGATCACCCAAATCTAGGGTCCTCGGAATAACCAACTGATCAACTTCGCCAATTGTTACCCTCAGATGGTGCGCTGTATGGCGTAATCCGGCGGCGGCGACGGCATCATCACCGTTCTTTTTACCTTTCACCAAAGCTAGAAGTTGGCCTTCAACGGGGAGTAGGCCATCGTGATGAAATCGCCCATCTGAATGACCTAGTGATCTCTTGGCATTTTCAACATTTTCTAACAACAGTGCCGCTGTCGCCATAGACATACTGCCTTCGTCTAACGGTTTTACGATATTACTTTTGAGGTCATTTAAGTCAGACGAATCTAAATTCAACAGATTGCATGCCGATCGGAGATTGGGGAAGGCGTGCCCCAAAGTGACATTTTCCGGATGATTGACATAGTAGGCGTTCCAAGTGTGGGCAAGGTTCGGGAAGAAGAGACCCCTAACTGGTGTCAAGGCCGGTTTTTCACTAAGCTTTCCGTCGAGCCACGTTTTGACATTCGATCTTACCATCTCGACAAAGTGAGACGAAACCGCCATTGGGACACGACCTGTCATACGTTGATAGAACGTTTTCAAGAGTGCGTATGTCACGTATACGCCCTCTGTAAGCCATGACATCCAACTTTGCGGAGGCTTGGGAGGAAGTCTTCCATCTCTTTCCGCGTTAAAGCAATCTCCCCAACTTATGACAACATCGGTGGAAGAATCACGATCCAGTAAATTCATAGCATGACGAACAAGGACATTTGTGAGGCCGGGCGAGGCGCCTATACCCACAATGCCTATCTTGTCAATCGCCTTCATTTTTGCATCAAATTCAAGGGTATCCAATGTCGGCTGTGTATCATCCATTATATCAAGATAGTGACAGTTTGCCTCAATGGCAGCCGACATCACCAGAGATGCGAACTTATAGAATGGTCCTACAAAATTAGCAACTATCTCACAGGTCTCCAAGAGCGCTACCAAGGCCTTGTTATCACAAACATCCATCCTGACGGTCTCAACGCGGTCGTCCTGGAGACTTCTTGTGAATTCTTGCGCGCCTTTTATATTCAAATCAGCTATGATAAGTTTAGAGATTAGGGGTCTGTATTTCTCCAGTAGAAAGAATCTTACTGCATATCTAGCCATGCCCCCGCATCCTCCAAGAACCACAATTGTAGCCATTTTATATAGTTTGTATTTCACGTTGTCCTTTCGGTAGCTGTTGGTCAACTGGGTATTAGCAAGACGTCAATTCACCACTTTTTCGCTCATTAAGTCGGCGTGTATTCAAGCATCTAAAAAATGAAAAAATACAGGTATATTAGATTTACATTCTGATACTTTGAACATCAATCGTATCTTTTTCATTTTTCTTTGTAATCATATCAAACATTCAGTGGTACAATGTATGTACAGGGTGTTCATAAAGTTCTTGCAAAAGTTCTCTAAAATTTTTGTATCTCAGTCAATCTGGCTGAAATTTTCACTCAGTATACCTACACTGTTTATACATTGAGATCCTAAGTTATATACTTAACAGGTATACTGAGTGAAAATTTCGGCCAGATTTATTGAGAAACAAAAAATTTAGAGTACTTTTGCAAGAACTTTATGAACGCCCTGTACATACATTGTACCACTGAATGTTTGATATGATTACAAAGAAAAATGAAAAAGATACGATTGATAAAATACCTTGCACCTTTTTTCCTTTGACAGAGGCTAGTTGAATTCGTCAGTTCATTTCATTCTGAATTCAATGTTAATGTGCAAAACTTACTTATTTATCTACCTGGACTTGGGACCCAAAATATTAGTTCTGATTAGGGGTCTCAGTGATAAAATCCGTGGGCTAAATACATTACTTTCAAAGTTATGTACTCAAATTATTGATATAAAGGTAGACAATTAATAACTCAGTATAGATTAAAAAGTGGGTACAATGTGCAGAGCCGAAACGCCGATGCGTAGTGTTGAAAAGTGAGAGTAATAAGGCTTGATAATTTCCGTACGTTCTTCAGTCATATTTTTATCGCACTTTGAAAAAGTGCTATATTGTCGTCGTCTTGTGCTGTTGGGCGGGCGTGCGGGTGTGCGGGCGTGCGGGCGGGCGGCACATAAACCAAATCTTGTCATCAAATTTCCAGGATAACTGCTTACCTGTTCAACTTGAAATTTTTACAGATGCAAGAGCAGACTAGTACCAAGATCTGATTAGGTTAAGGGCATGCTGGGTAAACTACGTGGCGGCCATTTTGAATTTTTCAACAAATCTTGTCATCAAAATTCCAGGAAAACCACTTATCCGTTCAACTAGAAATTTTTACAGATGCAAGAGCAGACTATTGCCAAGATCTGATTAGGTTTTGGGTATGCTTGCTGAATTACATGGTGGCCATTTTGAATTTTTCAATTTGACGGCCATTTTGAATTTTTCAACTTGCTCCAAATTGACCAATTTTTTTTTTAAAACATCTACAAGTTCTCAGAAGTTTAAATCTGACCTTAGATTTCAGATTTGACCTTTCATTCACCTTCAGTGACCTTGAAAAGGTCAAAAAAGTTGATTTTCTAAATTGATATTTTGGATTTAAATTTAGGTCAGCTTAATTACAAAACACCTACTGAGGTCTAATAGGAAATTTTCAAGGTCGAAGGTCATCAAATTAGGTCACAAACAATGTTATCTAAATTTTCCCACAGTTCAAGACTACAAATAAATTCTTGTCATCAAAATTGCAGGAAAACCGCTAACCTTGTCAACTTGAAATGTTTACAGATGCAAGAGCAGACTAGTGCCAAGGTCTGATTAGGTTTTGGCCATGCTTGGTAAATTGCATGGTGGCCAGTTTGCTCTTCAAAGTGGGATATTTATCACTGTGTGTCTTGTTCATAGTGATTCATAACTGGTTTGTGAAAAAATTTTGAAAATTTGAGGCCCATGTGAAAAATTGGCCTTAAAAGGTCCTAAAAGGCCAAGGTACGCCCGAAGAGGCGCATTTATAGGCCAAACAAAACTTATGGTCCCGAGAATTTTTGGGGCCCTAACATTTTTTGGGCCCACCCAATTAAGAGAACGTTCGTTTGAAAACGGTAAGAATGAGTTATGTCGCGATTTCAAAGATCGGTTTTCCATCGTATGATCAACTTTTTAACATTTAAACACCTTAGTAGAAAGGTAACGACCATAAAACTGAGATTTTAAAAGCTATAATAATAGGTCTTGATGATAGAAGATTTGACACATTTTTTATATCCATTTGCGACAGTGTAGTTAAGTGTTAAATTTACTATGGCTGGTCACATGGACCAATGTATCGTTATACTTTTAAAGCCGTAAACTTTACTTTTAACGCTGTAAAATCTACTTTGAACGGCGAGATTTTGTGATTTTGTACGGCGTCAAAAAATGACTTTGAACGGCTCCAAAAACGATTTCGAACGGCGTCAAAAATGATTTCTGACGCCGTCAAAAATGATTTTTAACGCCGTCAAAAGATGATTTTGAACGGCGTCAAAATGATTTTAAGCGCCGTCAAAAATGATTTTGAAAGGTGTGAAAAACTATTTTGAACGGCGTCAAGAATCGCATGTTACACGTAAATTGCGTCTTAGGTGGCAGCCATTCAAGATCAGCGTTACAATCATTTTTGAAATGCCAGTAGTTTTACGCCGTACAACATGCATCCACATATAGCTGGCCAAGTGGTACAAAGTTACGTCGTTATGTTAACGACCGTAAGGTCGTAAATGTACGACCGCAAGAACGTAAATATACGACCATAAGGTCGTTTATTTACGTCCTTAAGGTCGTTGTTATCGGTTCCAGGAACGTACTGAATTAACGACCTCATAGTCGTTATGTTTACGACCGTTTACAAACAAACGACCGCAAGAACGTAAATGTAAGACCATAAGGTCGTTAATTGACGTCCTTAAGGTGGTTATTATCGGTTCCAAGAACGTAAATTAACGACCTCATAGTCGTAATGTAAATTTACGACCTCACTACCGTGTTATTACGACCTTACTGACGTAAATTTACGACCTTACGACCGTGTTATACGACCATGCTGACGTAAATTTACGACCTTACCACCGTGTTATACGACCTTACTGACGTAAATTTACGACCTCACTACCGTGTTATTACGATCTTACTGACGTAGATTTACGACCTTGTTATACGACCTTACTGACGTAAATTAACGACCTTACGACCGTGTTATACGACCTTACTGACGTAAATTAACGACCTTATGGTCGTATATTTACGTTCTTGTGGTCGTTTATTTACGATCTTACGGTCGTAAACATTACGACTATGAGGTCGTTAATTTACGTTCTTGGAACCGATAATAACGACCTTGGGGGCGTATTTTTACGTTCTTGCGGTCGTACATTTACGACCTTACGGACGTAAACATAACGACGTAACTTTGTACCACTTGACCAGCCATATTATAAGTAATTCTTAATGGCGTTAAAAGTAGACTTTACCATGGCGTTAAAAGTATGACTGACGATACATGGGTCCAGATGGCTAGTAATTTACACCTTCCTACGCCCCTGGATTAGGCCGGATAGTTTAAACATGATGATCTTATTCCCGGGACTCTGGTTCTCAATTCATCCCGGATAATCATACGATTTAACAGTCTCAGGGTCAGGCAAAAACATCGAAAAGTACTTGAGAAGACGACCCAGAAGATGCCCTGCACTCTGACGGTTATTCCGCAACGGCCGGCCGGTGGCCTACCCGGGGTCTATGCCTACCTCATGCCTGGCTTCGCTTCTGGAGTCCTGCGTCCCTTCCCAATTTAAACTTTTAACATAAGTAATAAATGTACGGCACTTTTCGATACTTCCTTGTTTAGAATCATGGCACCAGCAGTTTCGTTCAGTGTGTTCTTGTTTCATTCAGCTCAGCAAGTCCAGGAGAAACAAACACGCCCATCATGTTCGGAAGAGCAAATGAAAAAAGATCCCTCATGCCTTGACATAAAGTCTATTATGGAATATGTATGCCACGATAGGCCCAAAGCGTTTACTCTCGAAAGCCCATTAGATATAATCTGTGCAACGGAAGTCATTATAAGTCGTTCGCAAAAGTGACGCATATTCCTGTTTTAGTTTTTGTAAGTATATTTTTCATTTTAACGATTATTTAGCCATATGAATGACTTATTGCAGATTGAATTAAATACACCAATCTATTTTTTATTCAGGATATAAAAATATTTATGTATCGTTGAATAGAATGTACGAACTTGACCATTTTATCCAATGTTAATCAATTATCGCCCACACATGTTTCAGTCAAGATTCAGAAGTGAGTAGGGTCAATACAACCTACTTCGAGTTTTGTTTTGTTCATGGTAAAGTAGTACCTAAAACACTAGTTTGCTACTTTGTAGATGTATGGCACTTATCCCGTTCCCGGACTATAGTCCTGCACTGAGCGCATTCATTTGCCTGTACGATTACAACTTGGGAGAATTATCTACGCCCCTTACACTTAAGATACCTACCTCAATGCATTATAGAACTCAAGATGTAACTTCTAATATATTGGAACCGCCGATTGTCTGGGTATATCGGCAGAACGGGAACATTTCTCTTTTTCATCGAGAGAGATTCCATCACTTTTCAAAATGGCGGTTGGATTTAAAAGGGGAATCCCCCGTTTGGCTGTCCCGGATGTAGCCCGGAAGTACCAATATGGAGGAATTTGACGGTTGAAATAATTTAAATGTTACACGCAAATATTGCGATCAAAAACGAAAATGTCTTCGTTCTGCCGATAAACCCAGACAATTGTGGATTCAACTACACGAAAAGAATGTTAAATTACCAAGGAATCTATTGAAGTAGGTATCTGAAGTGTAAGATGAGTAAAAAATTCTCCCATGTTGTAATCGCACAGGCCAAAGATTGAGATGTTCACAGGACCATAGTCCGGGAACGGGATAATATGGCACGTATATGTGTACATGTATTGACAATTAATGTTTGGTAATAGCTAGTAGGAGTGTCAGGGACCGCTGACAGATTATAATTATGAACCCTATGTGCTTTGTACAGACCCAAAAATCAATGCGAGCTTAAAATGTAGCAAAATCTTTTTTCGTTCGTGGGATATTTTTCTCATGATATAACCGAACGGGAAGTTTTTGAATAGGACTACATGACAATTAATGATCTACTTATCAGATACATGATCTGAATGGATGCGAGGATTCAATGGGCTGGGATTTGAGAAATTATAATTTGAACTTTGTCAATTTTACATGTATTCCAATGGGTGAAAAAGTAAGTTGCTTTCTACCATTGCTCCCATAATACTATCATATTCTTTCGTATTCGGGGATTCCCCTTAGCTATCCTATATGGTAATACAAACCTTATATGGATCTATCACATGATATTCAAAATGGCGGACAATGGTCAGTTGGATTCCTATATGGTCATGTAAGCCTTATATGGATCTAGCACGTGTACCACGTGATCTTACTTGGTCACTATAATTATACCAGGATTGGAAACATGAATCAAAAAATAATGACACGTCATGCTCCTGTGATGAAAAAATGAGCCTTGAAAATATTTACACCAAGATGGCCTTTTATTCTTGGTGATTCCCCTCTTGTTCTGTTGAAAGCCCATGATGAGGTACACCAGAACTTTGAACAGGTTACCTTCTTTCAAGGCTGTCTTTGTTTTACATCTTTCATTCTTGCACAAAAGATGCATTAGTGTACCTACAGTCTGTAACACTGCTTCAAAGGCAAGCAGTTAAACCTGAAATATAAGAAATCTAAATAATATTGTGCAATAATATATAGAAAAATATATTCATATTGCACACGAATGACATTTGTATATGTTGGATTGCTTGTAAATTGGCTCATAAAGTCTGTAACCTCTTATATTTTGATGCTTCTCTACCATGTTAATTCTCAAAAAATAACATGGCAGACAGTCCTCAAATTACAAGAGAGCACAGGCTTATTGCACTAAACACTAAATAATCTGAAATATACAAATGCCATTCGTGTGCAATATGAATATATTTTTCTATATATTATGGCACAATGGTCTATAGATTTCTTATTTTTCAGGTTCAACTGCTTGCCTTTGAAGCAGTGTAACAGACTGTAGACTATTAATTCAGGGTTGAGAATTCTTGAGAATTCTTCAGAATAACTAGAATATTCAGTGGTTTACTTTTCAAAATTGCAAAAAAATCCAAAGTGCACTCTGACCTAACATAGCTTTGTATCTCTTTTCAGAGTGTCAGTTCTTATCCCCATCCACATTTCCATGTGTAGATCCGTACATTCGATCCAAGAAGGATACCATTTTTAACTATTTATAGCATTGAGGTAGTGAAAATATAGTGTAGGTCTTCCAAACCCAGGAGGTAGCCAGATTTCAGTCAGGGGGGTGTGATTGCCAACATTTTTTCGATTTTCAGTCAGGGGGGGTGCGATCGTGGCATAAGCAAGGCAAAACAAACAAAAAATTTTAAAGAGAGAATCAGATCTAGAATTTTTCCGACTCATGTCATTTATTGTCATGCCTATTTTCTAAAAATCCCCAAAGTGCACACTTTATTTCAGGAAAACTAAAGATTTTTACAACAATGTATTATTTTTCTATAAGAATGATTACAATTCTTATTATTTGGGAGAATTTAAACATTTTTCACCCATTTTTGCACTTTAGATCCATAATAACTTCACCAATTTATAACATATCGTGATTCGTTTGGGAGATATTGTATTTGAGATTGTAAGGAATAGATTGGTAGGTTAATTGTACATATTGCTTGTAACTTTGTCACCCCTATAGATCTGATTCTGCCTTTAAGATTTGTTTTGAAATTTACAAAAATTGATGCAACTTCTATTTTTATTGGTTAAGGGGGGGATCTCTGGCTACTCCTATGAAACCTAAAAAGTGCAAATAAAGGACGATCTCGGTGCATATTGAAAACGAAGTCATGGTTGTACATGTATATTATTCCACTATACCTTTTAATTGTTTGCCTTAGTTGAATAACCGCCCCTCCAATCTTCAAAGGACGATTCTCGGTTTGGAGAACGAAGTTCATCAATCTAAATGAGCATTATCCCTGCTTCGGACAAATTTGATTTTTTTACATAATATAGATTTGAATGTCTTCTTTTGAATAGTCATAATTTAATTTGGGTAATATTTCTAGATTTTTCGCAAAAAAATATTAGCGCAGTACACTGATGAACTTCTTTCCCCAAATCGAGACTTGTATTTTATTGAATCGGTTTATTTGAGCATTATCCCTGCTTCAGACCAATTTGTTATTTTTACATCTTGTAGATTTAATTGTCCTCTTTTGAATATTCATAGTTTAATTTGGGTAATATTTCTATATTTTTCATGAAAGATTTTTTAGCCCAGGAGGCTGTTCTCCAAACCGAGAATCGTCCTTTGTTTTTCCTCAAAAACATGTTTGACATAGAAATAATAAAATGCCAACACTACACTGTAAAAAATGTTTCAGGACTCATTGTAAGATATGGAAACTGAATCTAAGAAGCTTGCCATAGATAATGATCCAACAAAGGAGGACATTTCTAAGAAAAAGAGACCTAAACAAGAAAACGAAGAACTATCAGAAACCACTAACAAAAAAACTAAAACAATAGATGAATCTTCTGAATTAGACAATGACTCGATTCAAAAAGATAAAGAAACAGTGATCAAATCCAAGCCTGTTAAGTCAAAAAAGAAGAAACACAAAAAGTCAAAAGTGAGAAACAATAGTTTCGATGAAACTGAACTTCAAGGAGAAAAAGAAAAACCAGATGTTCAAAAATTATGTCTGCAGTATCTCAAAGAATGGAAAACAAACAAAGAGAAGTGGTCATTCCAGAAGGTCAGACAAGTCTGGCTGTTAAAGCACATGTATGATGTGGAAAAGGTATGTTTGAATTTAAACAACATCCATATTCCTAAGTACAATAAAACCTGTTAAGTGGAACACCTAGTACACCTGTTCAAGCACATGTATGATGGGGAAAATGTATCTTTGAATTTAAAAAACATCCAATTATTTGTAAAAATGATAAATATGTGTTGGTACACGGATCTTAACGTACCACTTGGTGACTGGTGAGTGACATTAACATTCTACAGTACTTTAGTAACAAAGAAGCATGCATAACCTTTGTTGCCATTTTGTATTTTCATATCCTTTTACACAGATACCAGATGAAGACTTTGAAATACTTCTAAGCTACCTTGAGGGCCTAAAGGGTAAAGCTAGGGAGGTGACCATACAGAATGCAGAGGAACTGCTCAATGATGATGACAGTGACAGTACTGATGATGATGGCGGGGGTGAGGAGGCTCAATCAAAAACAAAACCTAAAGGTAAAGAGGAGTACACACATGTCGAATGTCATTTGTTTCAATTACACTGTACACTGTACACACAAATACTGTACATTAAATGTTCTTGTATCGATGCCCTGATCTTAATTGAAAGTTTTCCCTTAAGATAAACATCCTTTAAATTAAAGGCACTTTTGATATATTAGGGAGTATGAGCTTGCATATAAAATTGAAGCAGCAACCTATGACGTGTATGACCAATCGCCCACACAAATGCATCGCTTAAAAATTTTCCATTCACGTTTAGGTTGTGAAAAACATTGCAAGCTTAAACTCCCTATTACCAAATCGATGTTTGTTTGAGAGTTGTGACATATTGTATAGTCTCCAAATTTTTATGGCACTGGTTGGTGTTCGTTGTCTGTAACAAATTGCAAGTGGTGACATTCTGCATGTTACTTCCTTGTTTAAATTGAATTAAGATGGATGGACAAGTTCTTCCAGTTGTAAATTATCAATGTTGCCATACTAACACTGGATTCTCAGTTTGAAATCCTCATTTGGTTTATTATGATAATTTGGTGGCTCAAAGACATAGGTCTTGTTGTGTAAACTATAGGATGTTGATAGATAGATATGGAAATCATTAGGACTACCTGAAATTTAAAACCAAAATCTCACCCTTTTGTAAAAGTAAATCTATGTCCAAATATTGCTACCTTCTTTTCACTTGTTACTTTAATGTTTGAATATTCAATGTGTCCCCATACTTTCTCAGTGTGTCCACATACTTTCTCAGTGTGTCCCCATACTTTTTCAATGTGTCCAAATTTTAGTATTTGCCTTCTTTCCAGGTCAAAAACTCAGTGATAAACAGTGTGACAGGATTCGACAAGTACTACAAATATTGCCATAGTGACATGTTAAGATTTACAATTGTGACAAAAACAAATTACAATTGTGACAGAGAGAGATTTACAAACAGCATGTTTTGAGACACCACTGGGAGGCAACATTTACAATAGTGACATAGAAACTACAACAGTGACAATGCGCACTTTACAATATTGACAAATTAGTTTTAAAAAAGTGACTCGGCAAGATTTTAGTACGAATAGGTTTTCAATATTGTTTTTCTCATGAATCACAGGAACGTTGGCATGAAAGGTTCATTGTTAAGGTTACTTGTTAAGGCGACATCTATAGATGCGTAGAAATGTGTTTCTGCATAATCTGAATTACAATTTAAAAGTGTCTCATTGAAAGAAATGAAGTAGAACTCCATCCTTGAGTTAGGTTAACTTTCTTCCACTATGTAAGAGTGCCCGTATTTCTTCCTATATTACTGATGAAAGGATTGATATATCGTATGAAATACGTCCGAATTCAAAGTTATACAGTTATGTGTGCAGCTGTATGTGTGACTTGTAAGCAGAATAATATAAGTACGGATTGCCCGGATAATTAACATGATTGGAAAATAAAGGCAAAGCCAGCTATCAAAACGCAAAAAAACATAGTCTTTATCCCATCGAACGAGGTTCGGAGGGATATAGGGAACGCTTCCGTCCGTATGTACGTCCGTCTGGGTGATAACTCAAATACCGTTGACCAGATTTTCTTGGGAAGAATAATGCTCGAAATCCAATTTTTCTAAATGGAGAGTGATATTGAATATTCCAATATTGCTGTTGGGTAACGCCAATTCCTATTTTATGTTCACGAATCTAAAGGTGCTGGTCCAGAAAGACATAAGTATATGTGCTGTCATGACTTAGAAGTATTACGAGGAATGCATATACAAACGTACATGTACATATACAACCGTACATGTACATATACAAGGTTGCTCAGAGATCTGGAATTCTTCCCAATTTACATGTTCTTCGATTTCCAAAAAGATTTACTCAAATACAACGTTTTCATTTTGTACGAATTACGCGCCAGGAAATAATGGCTGATACTCACTCCTACAGAAAAAAATTAAAAATCACAGTTTAAATGCTTGTAAAAACAAGTTTGAATACACATTACATTTGGAAAACACCACAACAAATTCTACGCTGTTGCAACATTGTGTAAAAAAATAAAATCTACATCCACCTAGATGGTAACACTCAAATAAATACGAGGGAATATTCTGGTAATAGGGCGAATTAACTTTCTTCAGTGAACATTTTGAACAATCATTCTGCATATCTACATACTGTCGACTTAAACTTTTGTAGTAAAGAGAGTGTATTGATTTCTGTGAATGGGCCATATATAGCTTACATATATTTTTTCAATCTTCTTATATATTACATACATGTACACTTTGCATTCGTTCGACTTCGCTTCTTAAAAGAGAGCTTTGTCTTATTACACGTTCGTGTACCGCTGACCCCCGGGGATGTGAATTGTGAATGTACTCAATAAATATTCTATACAATAAACAATGGAGTACAATCTATTATAATACATGTGTGGATATTCTCGCAGTCTGTTTCATTATGTGCAAATCACGACTTTCATTAAAGAAAAATTGTCGAGTCATTTCGCCTTTTAGGAAAAAAATTCTAAACGTATGCACGCGACATCTTTACCAAAACTGATGATCCTGATATACACGTAGTACACTTGGATGTACTTACGTATTCACTGAATGTTATGTACGCTATATGACTACCATATGCAGTTGAAACAAATGGTTGTTTGACGAATATGAAAACAAACAATCAACAGCGTTTTCATGATAATTTCAAGTTTTTCAAAAATAAAAACATGATTATCGATTAGATGCATTGATGCTGATAATAGATATCACAAAATATGGAAGTAATGATAGCATGAGTTCTTTCACGAATGATATTTCAATTGGAATGAGTTCCTGAATAATTATCCACAATTCAACACTTTTGGAGATGATTTTGAGACATCTTTTTACAATCTTCATATTGGTCAATTTTGTTTACTTTAAATGAGATAAAACATATTTTACGCTTTAATCATGTTCAACATTTAGCCAAGATAATACTAAGACATAATATATTTATCAAGTACTCATTGAAAATGATCAAAAGGGAAGCATGTCCATGCTCATTTCGAAATTCTCATGTTTATAACAGAGTAGCATACCTTACTTCTCTTTTGAAAACCCGTGAATTATTTCAAGTTTTAAATATGAGATCGAGAGATTTTCATCTACAAATGTGATGAAAACTCATAAACACTTGAATTGTCCCTTCAGTATGCCAAAAATGTCCACATCCGTCGTGTAATAATGTAATGTAACAATGCACTTCATAATGTCTATCCAAGTGAGTCGCGTGCAATGATGAAACTGTCTACATTGTCGTTTTTTCCAAAAATTGAAAAACAGTTCCGGAAAAAGCGACAATGTTAACAAAAACTACTGAACCATTTTAACCTTCGCTTAAATGCGTTGTAAAGACCCATATTGGTCCAGCAAGTGTATGTAAGGTATTTACACAGCCGATCACAGTCAAATGGTTTAGGTTTAAGTATATTGATTTTTGTGGAAAGTATTTAAGTATAGAGGGTACTTTGATATTCGACTACCTTGATATTAAGGGAGTGTCAAATTTTAGCTATCACCAAATTTAGCTAGGAGAATGCGTTTTAAACCAAAATACTGATTTGGATACATTATATTCCCGCGATGTTGTATTTAATGGATATAGCTGGCCGAATGGAATGAGCTGGTAAACCAAGAATCAACTCGAAATCTGGAGTTATATATTATAGCACTTCTAGCTATTGGTAAAGTTCTGATTGTTTAATTACGACAGTAAAATCTTAAACAAAATATGCTGGAAGAAGTTTGAAAACGTTTAGCTGTCAACCCCACGTCTGAAGATAATCGAATATAAGATACAACTGCCAGTGCTACGTCAAACTTTAACATTTAAGTAAGTAAACACCCATATTGGACATATCTTTCGAAGTCCTTTATGTCTCAAGTTTATATGTGTCATATGCTTTGTGCATTCTGGTACTTTCAACATCGTTCTTATTCACAACATGACTCTCAAGGCCGAGAGAAAAATGAGATGTCATGGTTCATTATAATGTACCCTTGTGTACGAGTGAGAAGTCACTATATATCACGCTCGTGTAGTATATACCTGTTATTTGTTCATTCAATACATTCATTCAACACAGTCATTCAAGATAAAATGACCTCTTCTGTTGTTTCTTGAAACAGGAATACATACATGTAGTTACATATGACCCTAACAAGACTTTAACAAGGCATTAACATGCAAAATGTCACCACCGGCCATTTGTTACAGACGCCAACCGCCCAACACCGTCCACAAATGAGTTGGAACTATAATAATATCTCACCACTTCTGGTGGTGACATAATTAAAGGTGCAACAATTAGTGCAGAGGGGCCATTCAACGATCATCGACCAGTGTCAAAATATATTGAAGGTTGGATACCTCATCAAGACTAACATACTGTATATTTTATTATCTACAAAGAAACCCCCTGGATGAACATTATATCAGCTGATATTTCTCTTGAAAGGTGGTGGATGGTAAACATCTATAAGCGGGACTCCCTTTATAAAAGCGTTGAACTGAATTTACCCTTCTTAATGCTGAAATTGATAGTTTATCCATACATTTTAAGAAAATGGGTAGGTCAAAGAAGATGTTAAGCCAAATGTTGCCCTGATAGCTCAGAAAAAGTAAAAATTTCTGAATTTTCTCTCTACAGTCCTTGTTGCCCCTTTAAACCACTGCATTTATACTTGGATTTTGAAATCGGTTAGTGTATGTATCATAGGCCCATTATCTGCCCCCTTTTTTCATCCCCTTGCTTGTTGCAAGATGATAGAACGCGATGGGTTTATCAGAAGAGTAAATAAAAGAAATAGTACATTTATCATATGCCTTTGCGAATATATGTGCCTCGTTTCAATGGCGCAGTTCAATATGCTTTCTATTTTCTTGACATTTTGAATCACACTCTGATGAATCACAACGTTAAGTACATGTACATATGAACTTTAATAAGCATTAAGTACATACATATGTTATTGTATGTAGGCCAATGTTGTCACGATTTCTTCAAAGCGGCCAGAACAGCGCGATTAATGGCTTCCTGGTGGTCACTATTCATGCATTGTTACACGAAGGTGTATAATTCACGTAAAAAATATGCAGATGCCCAAAATACGATATACAATATTATTAAATGTTTGAAATTATACCCAAATGAACTGAATTGTACATATAAATAAGGATTACTAGTACTTGACTAGTATTTGAATCTACTTCAGACAAGACAAGAGTAAGAAATGACTAATATTGGGTATATAACACGAGAAACTATAGAAAGGTTTCGAGATCGCATGTCAATAGTGCATTTTCTGCAATAAGCCAAATGTCCGTCAGCAATGGTAAAAACACAAGATGTTAGTAATGAATGAACAAATTATATCGCTCAAATTCGAGCCAAATCAGTATTGTATCTATATTAACAAAGTTGTTGATTTTCTTTCTCAGAGATATTTATTTTTCTTGACGTTTCGTAGGATGTCCATCCTACTTCTTCTCTTTTTTGTTAATAGTACATTACTACCAGAGAGATGAACATTAATAGAAGTAGTTTTGTATCTGTTTTGTATCTTTTTTATAGAAAGCGACGTTAACCGACAAAATGGCGTTGCAGCTAGTCGTATTTTGCGTCCTTATCAAGTGTATATTAGGACTTGCTCAAATCCAACAAGGTAAACGTTTTCGACTTTAAAATGTTATATAACTGGAAGTATATAAATAGAATATACATCTTTGCTGATCCGATCTGTTCGGTTCACACGACGTTTTGTCATAATTAAAGCTACTTATTATTTGTAATTCCAAAATCGGTTTATCATAACTCAGTCTTCTTCACATTTACAATAAAATATGACCATGTATTGGGGAAAGTACCCCCTATCAAATAATTACTGAATACTTGTGTGTTTGTCGCCTGCTATTGAATGACGTAATGTGTATACTCCATCAGTATATAAGTAAATCGTCACGCAAAGCATGACAGGAGAATCCTAGCATGAACTTCTAGTAGAATAAGAACAACTAATTACATATTAGTAAAGATTCAAAAATATAAAACCAAGATGATAGTAAACATGAATACCTAGTTTTATTTATGCGCTTATTTACTCTTTTAAAAAGTTGTTTTTGAAAACACAACATATGTGCGTATGTAGCGATGTGGAGTTTGATTTAACGACAGGCCTTTGGCTAAGTTTGCATTGTGTAACATGTTTAACCGACTCAAATAACGTGTTTTTTCAGGAAGCAAAAAGTATGAATGAATTGATAACAATGTAATTGAGAATCTAACGATAAAACTGGTTTGTTTGTAAAACATATTGTCTCAGCAGGCACGTAGCCAGGATTTGCCAAGGGGGTTCACTTTTTAAAATATTTCAGGGGGTTCAGTTAAGAAAAACTGCATGATTTTGAAAGAAATTTTGGTCGGTGGGGGGGGAGTCAAATCCCCCGAACCTCCCCCCATGGCTACGGGCCTGCTTAGTTAAATTTATTTCAGGTGTAGTACGGTCATAAAAAAGCTAAAAGCTAAACACACAATTTTTGCATAGTTCAAAATGTACCACGGGAGGCATAGTTCGATGGATTTTTTCATATTTGTTTGACCATTCATGCCATTCAGTCTAGCCTATCTATATGTTAACCATAGGACATCCTAAATTCAAACATGTTGGGATTTTGTACTAAGGCTAAACCAATTTTGCATTTAATTCCAGTTGTACCAGCGATCGAGATGTTCCACACGGTTGCGTATATAGATTCAGCCCAGTTGCTTTTCATTGAACCGAAGATCAGAAACCCATTACAATTAGTCCCTGAATATTTTTTACTCAGCCATGTTGTTTCTTCTCAGCCATCAACCTCTCAAGTTGATCGTATTGAATACAGTGGTGCTAAATACAACATTTCCCTCCGCAATTTGTTCCCTCAGACTAATTATAGTGTTAAGATACAATCATGTACGGGTGTGTGTAAATGTGAACTGGACCCCTGCAAAGTTGACTATAGGGTAGCTCAACATAGTTTCCAGACAGGTAATACTCGAGGTGCTGCATTTGAACCCATAGACATGCTTTAAAGCTTAGTAGGCCCTTACGGCGTAATTGTCTTTTTAAACTTTAATTTGACGATATCAGTATCAAAAATCCTTTTGGCCTTTATATGATTCGAAGTCCTGTCCAACCGGTCCTTTGAAAAGAATCAGCAAAAGGATAATATCTTTGGAGGGGCCTAACTTCTTTGCAATTACAAGTAGAACCCCTGAATGTTTTTGTGCTTAAAATGTGTGATATTATCAATCTCTTTGTTTCTTCACAGGTGTATATCGAAGGTGTATACATTACGATCTTCACTGCTTGAACTATGCTTCAAAATGTCCCTTTAGAATGTAGTTTTTCTTTTGATAGATTCTTGACACGCTTTTGACTTTCACTTCTTTTTTAAATTTAACCAGCGTGATAAGATCAACAATGAAATGTTGAAATGATCTTCCCTCAGTTTTTTCATTTTCCCGAATATACAGAACTACCTCAATTCGTTATAATATAGGTGGTAGACACATGTGATCAGATCTACCAGCGATGGCCACCGTTCAAAGTATGCCTTTTACTCATATCTTTCTCTACAAAAATACTCCTTATGGTACCAAACGAGTGCGACTTTTGTTTAACATTAAGTAGTATGTACATCTCGATAGATACAAATTGAGTATGAACTGGCTGTTCCAACGTCTAACATTTGCCACTGTCCATGCTTGCACTACAGTACAGACAAAAACTTACCCGACAATACGCCAAGCCTTACAAAGTTCCAACGCAGAGACTGTAGCATTGATACAGTTATGGCCAGTATACAGCGAGATTCAAACAATGCTGATATTTATTGAATAAATGCGGATCAGGGAATATACACCTTAATCTCAAGAAACAATAGAAACAATCCTCCTCATATATCTTTTGTTTTAGGCATTCATTATCTTTATTTTATTCATTGTCATATATAAATGTTACTCATGTGTGTTTATCTAGATTATTTCTATATCATTTTAGCGGTTTGGATGGCTCAAGACTTCAAAGTAGACACGGTTGGTCTCGACAAAATCGAATTCACATTTATGAATCGGACTGTATATAACGAGGAAGGGGCAATGTTTATGTACATCTTTCCGACCAGCTTCAAAGTTATACATTACATAACAGATAGAGCAACGTCAGAAAACGTTGGTGTTGATTATATACAGGATGAGGGTACCAAACACTATGTAACATTAGGCAAACTTTTCCCCCAAACGAACTATACAATAGAGATAAAATCCTGTCACTTCGAGTGTGAATGTTTGGTGTCAAACACAAATGATGGCACTAATTTGGACCCAGGTCTAATGGATTTGAACTCGGATTGGCAGGCGTCGGGGGAGGGAGCTATTCCAATCCTCTTAGATGATACAGTGTGTCCAATATATATGAAAGTCTCTTCAACAATAATTACAGGCATGTACCGCATGTGAACATCACTTCTTGGTATATATTCATACTATAATCCTCTAACAATTCCTTATTTCTCTTCTTCTGATTCTGATATACCACTTTTATCATATAACAAACACAAATTAAAGAGCATGGATTATATCACAGGACATTAACGATGTACACAGCAGTCTAGATCAGCATTTGGGTAATAAGGGCTACATCACTCCAAGCGAGGATATATTAAACAAAATTATGTTTAATCGGTGACAATCATGTGAACATTGCAGCTGAACATTGCTCCATCAAACTGCATTTCGATATTCAAAAACACAGTTTGAGATTGTCGAAGCAATAATTATTACTTGTCACTCTATGCGTTGAATAGCTGGTTGTGCTAAACATTTATTGACTATTACGAAGGGCACGATGGAAATCAAGATTACCTCTGATTTGCAACGGGGTCAAACTTTCATCCTAATTAAGAAATATTATTTTTCACATTTTAGGAAGACTAGATACATTAAATAACTTTTTTATTCTTTTCAGACATTAAAGGTGTAATTGGTCAACGATTTTTAGAGTATCAACTCACATTGCACGCTATGTTTGTTATTTCAGTTGTACCAATGATAGAAGATTTCCAGTTCACCAATGCACCAAATCTTACTGAAATAAAATTCAGTTTCCGAAATAGAAGTATCAATTGTGATGTGCAATTTTGCAATTCCGAGTTTTTTCCGACGCATTTCAAAATTGCTCACTATACTTCGAATCCATATATCAGTGACGATGTTGAATATACTACTGTGGACGCAACAGATGGAGCCATGATATTCACAAAATATGATTATGGTTCATCCTTATTTAACATAATTTTGAAAGGATTATTCCCACAGACAAACTATACCATAGTCATAACGTCATGTCTTGACGTATGCGAGTGTTCGGAAAAGGTTGATTACCCGGATGAACCCGAATACCCGGATGCAATTGGAGCATCTGGTTTCTTTTATGACTACAGCACTACTTCCTCCCCTCCGCTGGTTCGAACAGGCTGTCCTTTATACAGTGCTTTCAGTACAACCGTTAAGACAGGTATAGCCTCTACAGAGAATCTAACAACTGCATGTGGCTCGATGCTTCATATAACTGTTTAACAAGACTTTTTTCCAATAGGTATTTTAATTGCAGTCATTTGGCATATAACTTATATCAACTAAAATAAGCTTATGATTAAACATGATGACGTGTAACAAAATATTCTTATTGGGCTATCGACGTTTGCGCAGCATAAGCTAATAGCTCTAATAAGATGTTCCATTCTAAAATCTTGGAACCGTATTTTTGTGAAAAAAGCCTAAAACGCTAAACGTTTACATGCCACTGCCATGCATATAAACATTTGCATGTGGGTCACTATGGACTGCTTTAGAATACATGGTACCAAATCATATTTTTTCTTATGTGTCTTCATACATTATTGTCTCAACGATTTTACATTCCAACTGAAATTAAGCAGGTGGTGCCAAGTGATAGCTGAAGATTCTTTATTTTTCTGCTGGGGCGACGCAGTACTAGATCGAGACGGTTGTATTTTAGGTCTACTCTGACATGAACTGATGATCGAAGAAGCCATACTAAGTGACATTCATGGCGATCATCAGCTTGATCCATATCCATATTCTATATGACACGCTGAAGTCATTATTTATCATAATATGGCCATCGTCTTTTTATGTGATATCTTCCATTTTCTCTTCAAGGAACTGCTTGTTTTTAATTCGGTTGACTTATTAGTTGTTCCAGCTGTCACTGATTTGGAGATCATCAGCACCGAGGCGAACATTGTGACCATATCCTTCTTTGCATCGGAACCAACTTCTGCTGTATTTTCCTACATACAACCGACATTCTTCCTCATTAGGCACTACATGCCAAGTGATCCATATGTAAGTGCTGTTGAGATGCGTATGAATGTGACCAGTTTTCCCGGAAGCTACCAGGCAGTTCTTTCGGGTTTTGAGCAAAGTGAAGCCTATAATATAATTGTAAGGTCGTGTAAGGGGTCGTGCACCAGCAGTTGTGCGCCTGGAGAACCCTGTGTCATATTCCAATATGGCTATGCAGCATTTGTCTCAGGTAGCAACAGAATACATTGCTTACCACCCGTTCTTACCTCTTGATGTTACCCGGATGAGGTGCCCAATTACCCGGATGTGGGATAAACACTAAAACATGATACGTTTGTGACCCCACTTTATTATGTATACCCCAATATTTAACTAGTACCAAACTAGATGTAACCTATCGCACACTGTATACTATGTTTTCAAATCATTACCCATACCCCACCTTAATTACTAGTTTACCATCGTCTAGATAGGCTGATAACAGAGGTTATTCGACTTGATGCTATGTTTTTGATTGTTTGTTTTATAGGTTGATTCATACGATAATATCATAATTGGATTCAGCTCCTATAAATGTATTTGTCAGAACTACATGGTCAAGAAATGTACACTTCTCTGTCAGCTCATTTTTCCTTGATATGCACGATTGAGTTTTTACAATTGTAAACATGTACCACAAAAACTAGTTTAGTGTGGTTGCATATCAATTTTAAAATCCACTATAAATAGTTTCCTTTTCATGCACACGTTGGGCTTACAGAAAATGTCCAGATATTGAAAAAATGTACCAAATCCACAAGTATCAAATTACACCGAGAATATTATTAATTAATAACTTTTATTATTTTCATAATATATTATCATCTAATATTTCCCAAAAAATCAGTTGATGATGCTGTATGTAGGTACCTCGATTGTTATCAACTCACGTATATGATAAATGTTATACTCAAACGCACACTAAAAAATGTACTAGGTTAGTAGGTATGCAATCGAGGTTCTTAAATTTACAGGTACTATATCGACTCAGTTTGCTTTGACTAATTAATATTCTAACCAATCTATAACTAACACTTTTGCTGCTTTTACTCAACCCGCTCCTAATGCATGTAGTTTTTAAAATCCAATACATTGTATAGCATTAAAGTTATTAAGTAGAGTAATTCTTTGAAAATTTACTTTGACAGCTCCATCTAGAATAGTTGCATGCTATATTAAAAATGTTAAGGATACTAGTTGTTAATGCACCATGTTATGTTTTTTGATTTATTAAATATAATTATCATAAAATAGTACTATATAAAATAAAGTGTAATAGTACTACTTTGATTCGGCATGTATATGTGCAATTTACGAGTTAATCCTAAATTACATAATAAAGAACTTCAATAAAAACGTTGTGACTCATTGAGGATTATCATACGATTCTCATTCCCAATTTTGACATATTTCAGCTGATTGTCCAAATGGTACGTTCTTTGAAGAGAAAAATCGTCGCTGTTTGGACTGCCCACTTGGAAAATATACAGACGAACCCGGGCTGTTAAAGTGTAAACCGTGCCCAACTCACTGGTCGACCTACGACCCAGGGGCTACTGAAAAATACAACTGTACTAGAGGTATGCAAGTAGTTTTTTAACTGCGACGATTCTGTGAGTTAGTCAGTCTAGATCTCAGTTTCATTAATGTTAAGAATAGTCGGGTTAATTGTGTGTATCAATGTTACACGTGGTGTGTTTTAGGCGAACTAACACCCATTCCCTTTAGTTAGATTGGCTGATGAAACATCCCTCTTTAGGGTTGTCAGTTGGCCAAGCGACCTAGAGCGCTGGACAAACCAGGCTCACTGGTCCCCACCTGGTTATAAAGACGTCTTTATGGATGAACTTCCTTCGGAGGAGTTTTCATCACTTTTCACAGAGGGAGGTCAATTTATATCCAAATATTTTACCCTTATTTTAATAGTAGCATCCTGTTACTAAATAACGAATCAGTCACGAGTATATCCGGAGTATATACACCCAAGGGCTTGATAATTGGGTAAGAATTCTTCACTTGAGCAACCAAGACGTTATGGAATTCACCAGATAACGTCCTGGTTGCTGTAGTCATTCTATTTATATTGGAGCTGATGGATATATCTGCTCATAGCTGCCTAGATTTTCAGTAACCGGATGTTACTATTAACATACGGGTAAATTATTTGGATAAAAATCGACCTCCTTCTTGGTTAAAATGATGAAAATAAAATTTCCTCAGACGGAAGTTAATCCATTTTGTTATAAGGACTTAACGTCTTTATAACTAGGTGTGGACAAGTGCGTCTAAGCGCTGTGTCATAACCATGATGTTGTGAATTCGAGAATTCGAGCTCCTTGTGTTTATTCATTTGTAATACTTTCATTTTGTGACATAATCTTGACATTTTATAGTGTAATGTAAAACCATATATATAACTTAGATTCTAGCCTTGCCCAAGTCGGTATGTTTTACTTATCTGATCTTGAATTATTACCTGAAATAAAATAAGTAAAAAAGACCGACTTGGAAAAGGCTACTTAGATTTCTGCATACTAGTATTGTCTCACTACACGTGTCTGTACTTTAATTCTTTGATCATTTTTTTTATTGAAACGTTGCATAAAACGTAAATTAAATATCTCAGAGTAAGTGGAGTCAGACTGGCCAAATACAACCTAAATGCACCGTAATCTTCATGTTCATCAATTTTAATTGATTTCACTATAAATTGTACCACACTATGGTACAATAATCATTTGCATAATAGGCAATGGAAAGGACAAATGTATGCATTACAATCAAACTCATTACGGAACAAAGCAGAAGTTAAGTTCAGTCTCAAATTGATTTCTCCAACCCTCTGTGAATAATAAAATGTAAATATTTTATGAAGAATGTGTACAATTTACAAATAATTATCATCTTCCAGTTTCATGTCCTCCTGGTCATTACTACGATCCCGATAGACAGTGGCCATATAGCCCCTGTGCCCCATGCCCATGGAATACTTATATGGAAGATGTAAGTGTATATGAACATATATAGTCACGTTAAACGAATTATATATATATTATGTATTACATACCCAGCGAAGCATTTGTATTGAAGTCAATGGAGCTGAAGGTCGGCTATATATTCCTGTATAGCCGTCAAACTTTTTACCATGACAATCTTATGACGTCATCGGGACGTCATGTTTCATTTCTTCCTAATTTCACTCGCACACAGACACGTGGCGTCATTGATATAACATAGCCATGATATAAAAGTATGTAATACAACAGTTATGTCCGTATCATTGAATATATGCCTTCGGTCTGTCGTAATATAGCCCTCCCAAGCTCGGGCTATATTGGTGACAGACCTCAGGCATATATTCAATGATAGGGACATAACTGCTAAATATAGTCAACTATTGAACATACATTCGTATTTACTTGCTGAATGACATGACAATACAGAGTTATTCAAAGAAGATTGAAATTAAAATACGTGAAATGTCTCTATAGTTTATGGTATTCCCAAGTTTGTAAAAAAAAGTGATGACTTGGTGATCTTTCAAATGGTAAACCATATCAATTAAGTAAGAATATGAGTTTAAACCTTTGCTGACGCATAGCGAAATTTCGATATCTTTGGGAAGCTTTGACACCATACTTATATGAGTGAAAATAGGATTTGAAACGACAATTTCTAAGTTTACCTTTAATATTTTCATTCGATTCGTTGTTGTTTCCAGATGGCTCATGATAATCCACAATGCACGGAATGTCCGTTGAACACGTATACAATCCAAAGGGGAAGAGGGAGTCAAGCTGATTGCTTAGACGTAAGAAAACACCATTAAAAGCACCATTATTTTTGTTAAGAAATTGATTAGATTATATCGATTATATGATAATGATTTCTGTAGTTAAGTTATTATATACTTTCTGGATTATGTTTAAATCTCATTTTCTGCTCCTATTCCAAAAACATCCACGTATATGTTATAGACCCCTGTAATCAATAGTATTATCCCTGCATATGGACCGATCGCTGGAGGAACAGATGTGACAATCGAGACTGCGAATCTCGATACATCAAGACGAGCAGACTATAGGGTGTTCATTGGTGACCACATTTGCAAAATATCAAGGTAGATAACATATACACTTTTCTCAATAACAATAACTGCATTGCTTCATATCATTAGTTCAGTTCCCAGAGGAGTACACTTCCGACATACAAAACAATAATCTCCAACCATATTCACAATCGAGGACAGTAAGGCCATGAAACATTTTAATTCATATACTGAATTCCAACATAATAATAGTTATAGATACTAGATAATGTCTCTTACATTATGATAACACTTTCCTTTCCATGTATCGTATACTGTAAAACACTTGAAATCCACGTGCATTCGAGTGACACAACCAGTGGACACAACAACACGAAAGTTGAATGTATGTGAGAAACATGTACTTTATTGTAGAACAAATATATATATCAAATGTCTAAGTAAAAACTGAAAATGCTTACCTTGGTTAAATTATGTACATTTTCTTACTACAGTGTTGCACCAGATACCATCATTTGCACAACAGACCCAGATATGTTCATACAGGCATACGAAACGCGTCCCGTGCGTATTAATCTACAAAATCAAAATATAAGTACAGAGGCGCAATTTGAGTTTGAATACCTGCCTAATCCAAATATAACAGGAGTTCAGAACCTTGACACTATTTTAAGGTAAGAATTTTTTAAAGTAAGATTTTTTTCTAGAGCCTGTATTTGTAGCTGGTGTGTCCTTTATCTATTATTTACAGCAACATTTTGTGTAGGATTTGATTTTCTCAGGTTCTTGTAAGTTCTTGTTCGTAATACATGGTGGTATAATTTAACCTACTTTACTTCAGTTAAACAATACTGAGAGTGAATGAAAGTCCTGGTCCAACTCCACTTTGATGCATCCGTTATTTATCGATATTTAAATTGAGAATATAAGAGGTCAACATCGTTTCATTTGAAACGCTGTACACTGAAGCCTATTTAATTTGAAAACGCTCGACATAGTATTTCTTGTTTTAAGGCAGCTGTACATACACCACAACAAGTGCGAGCAGCCTTCATTGTTAATTGCCAGTTGAGATGTAAAATCAAAAGAAATTATTCACTAAAAGTTGCTGATCCCATATTATATGATATTTAAGATAGATGAGCGACAGTGTTATAAAAATGCAATGTGCAATGAACAATATATGTGGCGAATATGTGATGTAAGTACTGTACTGTACATTTAGAAAAAAACAATACTAATCTTCATTTTAAACTTGATTCTAGAGGTGGTACGCAGTTGTTGGTGATAGGAGAGTATATAGATTCCGTTTATGCTCCAAGCATTCAGATATATGTTACATCTGGAGATGGTGATGATACCACGTTGGAATCAGTAAGTGGAATATACCAGTTGATACAATTTATTGTCCAAGATCAGCTTCTATTTTAAAATGTTTGATGTATGTTGTTTTATTTCTGTATTTGTTGTATTGTAAAATGTATTCATAAAATGAATGTTATCACATCTTACTTGGTACCATTAAACAGCTCCAGATCTTTTCATCTTAATATACATGATTGACGAATTTCAATTCAATTGATTTCAATATCAGTTAAAACAAATTCGTATTGTGTTCTCATTTTTGCAGACATGCACAGTACTTAACACAAACGAAATGCAATGTCCAATACCAGACCTCACCCAAGCGGATGGTATATCAGATGACATTGACTCAGATAAAAGTGTAAATGACGAACTTGGGCATAAATTTGAAATTGGTTTTGGATTAGATGGTTACACAAAATTCAGGAATCTGACGGAAGCTCTGCCACAGTATGCCCAACTTGTAGTGTATGCGAATCCAGTATATTATGCCTTTACAGAGATAGATGAAGTTAAGGAGTTTGATCCTTCTTCTCGGCTTCAGATAGACATTGCGGTGAGTTTAGTTTTCATGGGTCTGACTTGCATGTAATTTACACTATATAGATCTTGCATATGTCTCATGTATTACTGTTGTGTTTTATAACAAGAGCGCATTTTACATAGTGAGCATAGCGCATATATATAATGATAAAATTTAGATGTAGTATAATTTCTTGTGTTAACAGTACAATAAATGCATTTTTAGTTTTAAATTGAAACGTAAAGTGAATTTGAAAATAAAAAGTATTGAGAAATGTTAAAAAAGTATACATCATTTAATGTAAATAATAATATACATCATTTACAGGGTAGTAGACTTGACCTTGGAGTAAATAAAGATGATATAGAGGCGGCTGTTATGGTAAACATTGGAAATGGCACGTGTACTATTGTTAATATTGTATACAATAAGTTAACTTGCGAACCACCAGCCACAATGCCTGAACACAGTCAAGTTATTGGACCAGATTTAAGTCATGAAGTCAGCGTAAGTGTTTTCTCCAAAGGATCCGAGACCGCATGCTCTATTCTGAATGAGCGCTTTATACTGTTTAGATGCCAAAAGTACTGAAAATATAGTTTTAGTTCTTCAACATTAATACCATTTTGACTTTAATATATATGTGGGATGTCTCGAGGTTTTCTTGATGAATCCTTGATTGGGGAATGAAGGGGAACGGTGTTTGAAAGTTGTTTTAAGTGATTAGATCATAGTTTTTTGGATATTGTTTCTTTTAGCTCATGGATGGTTACTTTTTTTAGCACAATTGTACCAATTTGCAGTCTTGATGTGCGCCTCTGCAATAGAACAAAAAACATATACATACCTTTCAAGTTTCTGTGTAAATTGTTTACAAACTTGAATAAAGCCTCACTGCTATTACAGGGTGTCAAAAAACAACGGCACCCCCTCTACAGCAAAAAGTACTGAATTCTACAAGGTGTGTTGTATCCCATTTTAAAGACAATTTAATTCTGGAGTTACCTGAGAAATTTCAGCTTTATATCATATAATTTTACAGATTTACAGCTGATTCTAAGTAGTTGGTATGACTACCAGTTACTGCTCAAACAGCAGCTTATCTGGACAGATATGATTTCAATAAAAAATCACATAAAGGTGTAGCATTGCATAATCCTCTTCGCACTTTCCTCACATTCTTCAGAAATACATCCTTATTGTATCTTTTTTCAAGAGGCTCTTTGTCCATCAGTTCCTGTACCCTGATTTTCAGAAATGAACCCATATGTTCAGTGCAGTTGAAATCTGGGGTTTTCTTTCATATTTCACTTTCTGAAGATTTTACTTTTAACCAGTAACAGAGCAGCAAACAAGGTACCAAAGTAGCAAACTTTGAAACAATCTAGCTTTTTTAATATTAAGTTTTTTTTAATGAAATTTGATGAGTAACTCCGGAATAAAATTATCTTTCAAATGAGGTATGAAACGATATGGAACATTAAGGACTTTTTGCTGTAGAGGTGGGGGGGGGGGGTGCCGTTGTTTTTTGACACCCTGTATATTATATGTTTATTTGGAGTTAACAATTAGAAATGTATAGGATGATTTCACCTCAAAGTCAAAAGTCTAAACTGAAATGTGGAAAATAAAATTCAGAATCCCAGAGGACAGTCAAAGAAAGACTATTTATCAACAAGTTATAATTGAATTATTAATTTTGTAGGTAAAGCATGGGAACATTGAATTTGCCATAGGTTTCCTTGACTACCCAGACTTAAAATGGTATGAAGACTGGAGGATACTCGGTGGAATCATAGGCGGGGTTGTTCTGTTTATAATCATCATTACTGTATTGTGCATTTACTCTGCGAGGCGACGTAATGCGAGGAAAAGGAATAAAGGACGTGGATCTCTTGGATCGTTGAGCGGATTGGATGGCCCATATAATAGCAATCGCAATGGCCATGAGAGGGCAAACTCACATGGCTATGTAGCTCCCGGATATGGTGTTCCTGATGGTAAGTAATAAGGTTAGAGACCCGTACATAGTTTGAAAATATAGTTTTACCATTCAAATATCAGTTTTCATGTCTTGAAAAACTATTTGGGACATTTTTGAAAAGAAGTTGTTTGTGTTATTGTTTCCAAATATTTGAAAATATCGTCGTGATGTCATTTAGGTTTGAAAATGTTTTTTTTAGATATTGGCAAATTCTTATTCCTTCATTCTTTGTTTTTATTTCGTTTTAATGAAATGAATCCTCTATTTACCTGAAGGATATGCTCCACCCCTGCCTTCTTCTGGATTTCTGCCTGCCACATCCGACCTGGTTAGAATGGAGACAATAGAAAAACAGAACCTGCTACAAGGCTTGGGGGAAGAACTCAGGGCCAACGTCGAGGATGTACTCATGGAAGAAGACCGATTGAAAATTGAAAGACCCATAGGAAAAGGTAGGAAAAAATTACATGGACCAGAAGATAGTAGCAACAGTCTTAATCGATTGTTATACATCAAAAGCCCTTCAATAATAATCCTGCATATTACATGTCCCGATCCAGAAAAGGTATTTTTAGGATTTATTGCTTTCTCAAAGTAGAAAACTATATTTTGCTAGAAACTTATGGGGAACGATGGATGAATTAAAATTAAATATTTTTATGTTGTCACATTTTAGGCCAATTTGGCCAAGTGTACAGAGGCTCTCTTGTGGATCCTAACGGTCAAGCACCAATGGTTGTGGCTGTAAAAACTCTTCATGGTAAGCATATTATAATTAATAGATCTCCAAAACAACGTTTTTCTTAATTTACAGTAATAATGAATAAGTGTACCGATTCAAGTGAAGTCTCGTGGTTACTAGAAATATATCCAAATAAATCTTAACATTATTTTATTTTATATTTTTACAATTCGTGCTGTTCATGCAAGTCGATTGCTACCCTGTTGATTAATATTGTCGAAGAGGAAACATTTTCTTTATAAATCATCATTCCAAATAAATTATATCAATCATTGAGACAAAAAGTACTTTTGTAACTTATTCAGAAATATATATGATTTCAGTTAGGCATCATATTGGTAAGTTGTATGCTTGCTTGAAACGATTAAATGTAACTTATTCTATGTTTTTTTGCTGGCAATTTCTCTTGCTTCACAAACATATTATTTATGTTTGTGGGTAACGTCCTTTTCCATATGGCTTCTCAATTTAGTTAGTGCAAGTTATTGAACACTGATCTAAGGGAAGACATTCTCTGTATTCTTTCCTTTCTTTGTTTCATTAATCACCGTCGCTTGTTATTTAAAAACGCTCTTACTTCAGAAGTAAACTTGTGTGCGGTCAAAGGGGAATGCCTCAGAATTTATTGATGAACCCATTTCCATAAAATGATGAACAGAAATTCATCTTTACATGGAGAAAGGTTGATTTAAATGAATACTTGGGGTATTTCATTTTCTTTGGGCTGATATCTTTTAGTTGAGACTGGGGTATTTTCTCGGTATTTCCATTGTTTTTCAGGTTTACAATTTTGATATAATGTGAAACCAAATGACAATGTAGACTCTATGACATTTGTAATATTAAATGATGCTGCAGCAAAGACAACAGAGTGTTACATATTTGACAGATTTGCAATCTCGACCTATTGTTTAATTTGCAATATTAGTTTTATTGTCTGAAAAAAGAAGTTATTGAAGATGATTTGTCGACATTCATTAGATTTTTCGATTTTGAAACGTCCCAAGAAAAAACAACTGATGAAAATAGAAAATAGCCATGAATCGAATGACGAGGGCGCGTTCATAAAGTACCTTTAACTCGCCTATCTACTCCATTTTAATGTTATTTTTTTATTTAGTTAGTTTAGTCAGTTATTTCATTTCAGGTTCAGATGCTAGCTTTAAAGACATCACAGGTTTCCTCGAGGAAGGTTTGCTCATGAAAGACTTTGATCATATCAATGTATTGCGACTCATTGGAGTCATAATCGAAGCAGCAAAACAGAGACCTCTAGTTGTATTACCATATATGGAATTGGGAGATCTCAAGGGTTACATAACCAAAGCAGATATAGTAGGTTTTAGAGAAAAGATATGTTTATGTTTTAGAATAGTTTGACATTGTTATACTAACTTGGTTTTTTACTACTATAACTCATGTTATCTGATTTATTTACCAGCAAAATTATTTTCCAAGTTAAGTTAAAACCAAGTTCGAATGTTTTATTGATATTAGAATACTGCATTCAACTCCTCTTATTATAAAATCTAGAGCCTACAGAAGGAACCTTTTGATCGCCCCTTGTATATGTATATAAATCAGAAATTGCAAACCCCAAAACAAATATTCTATAGTTTATGTTAAATATATCACTCATGGTGTCGTAAGACATGAGCGTTGAAATGTGTGAAGATAGTGAAACGGGTTCATTACATTTAGATCTATTTCTTTTTCAGCAAATTACTGTGCGAGACTTACTTGGTTATGGGTTCCAAGTTGCCAAGGGAATGGCCTATCTTGAGGGCAGAAAGTTCGTCCATAGGGACTTGGCAACGAGAAATTGCATGTAAGAAATGAACCCACTGAAACATTAAGGACTTGTCGATAATTTGCATCACATCACTTATAACTGAACAGTACCAAAAGTCATAATTACGACACTGGTCTTTAAATTGACGACATTATGTCGTACATTTTCATTTGGTTTGTTTGCATGTTCAGCTAACCATAAAACAACTTTTTCCAGGTTGAATGAGACCGGTATTGTGAAGATTGCGGACTTTGGATTGTCTCGGGATATATATGAAACTGAGTACTACAAAGTGGAGGATAGGGGTCGCCCACTACCAGTAAAATGGATGGCTATTGAAGGACTGGCAGAAGGCAGATTCACCTGTAAAAGCGATGTGGTAAGAATGAACATTTTGATTCGACCATAAGTTGTACAATATCCAGTGTAGGTTTTTAGCCTAATTTGTTATGCTTCTCAGATGATATTTGCTGTTATATTACTTTGTGAATCTGACCCCTTGGGATTTCATGTCATTTTCATACACAAACACAGCCTTCATACGTTTAACAAGTCCCTGTTAAAGCCTCTTTTGGTTATCTCACTAAATCAATAGTTTTTTATTCATGAAATTTAAAAATGAATACAAATATGTGAAAATTATATCTGTCTCTCAATTTTGGTTATTTTGTAAAAACCTGCCAATAGGTCTGCAATTTATGATAAAAAGTGATGTATTTATCAACTTTGACAATTGACAACATTAAAAGGCGATGTTCGTTTGCCACACTTTTGGAAGGAAGTGTGTAGATGGCATTGTGCATACTTGTTAAGATGCCCCTTTGTAGTTATGACGTGCACGGACCTGGGGACAATTCGGGAAATGCGGGGTAATCTCAGCTTTAAGCGTAAATCTCTGCCTTATTTGAAAAGCTTACCCTTGTATGTGTTTTATATATCATTTTGAAGTATTTTTATTCGCATTTCAGTGGAATAAGGCGAAGGGGACGAGCAATACGTTTACCTTGATTTAACCTTCTAATTTAGGTCTAATTTGAAAAAAAGATTAACTGCACAATATTGTCACGGCGTTTACAAAACAATTACCGGTTTGTTTATTTTGCAAATAATATCAAAATAAGAGCTGATTTTCGAGACTTGAAAAAATGTGACGCATCTTTTGACGCATTTTTTACCGCAAATTCCATACATATCAATTTTTACTAACGCCATAAGTCGATTTCATGACCGTTTTTCAAAATTCAATTTTTTTTTTAGAAATATTGTCCTCGAGATCTTACTATTGTCCCCAATTTCGTGCGACGTGTAAGTGATAATAATTAATTGTCACATGAAATGTTCTTGTAATTTGACACACGTGCCTGGTTTAGACAGTAGTTTCATAATGATACATATCTACAGGTGTAATTTGTTGAGAACAACAGACGTGTTAATGAATATGTTACAAGTCGGTACAATACACATTACATAAACATTACTTACATAATTGGCATTCTAATTGGTATTGGGAACATCGACAGACTATATATTCTAAATGCGATTGGTGTGAAAAAAAGAAAAGTCAAATGCGATCGGTGTAAGATATATTGACAAAATAGAAAAGTCAAATGCGATTGATTTGAGATATTTTGACAAAACCAAAAGTCTAATGCGATTGGTTTGAGATACATTTATAAAAAAGGAAAAGTCAAATGCGATTGGTGTAAGATATACGACAAAATAGATAAGTCAAATGCGATTGGTGTAAGATGTATTGACAAAATAGAAAAATCAAATGCTATTGGTTGATATACATTCTTGACAAAATAAATGAGTCACATGCGACTGATGTGAGATACATTAACAAAATAGAAAAGTCAACTGCAATTGGTTTGAGGTACTTTGACAAAACAGAAAAGTCAAATGCGATTGGTTTGTGTACATTGACAAAAACAATGCTTCCATAATGCCGAAATTACATTGCCTGTAATCGAAGTTGATAAATTATCGCAAAAATGCAAGATGAGCTTTCAAATTGTTCTTTTGTTGCAGTGGTCTTATGGAATAGTCCTGTGGGAGTTGATGACTCGGGGTTCTTCGCCATATCCCGGTGTAGCTAACTTCCAAGTCAAAGACTACATCAGCCAGGGACACCGTATGTCTAAGCCAGAACATTGCCCTATAGAAATGTAAGTTAAAAATATATTAGTATCTCTGCCAAAAGTGCATGTCTTAAACAATGAATGACAATAACATATATGATATTAATACATTTTGGATAAAATTCCATAAAATGACATTGTTTTATAAAATTGATTATAGTTCTGTTTAAATTGAATGATAACGTAGGTTACTCGTTTGAAATGTTAAGTCGTCTAACCCCCCCTCCCCCTTCTATAAATAGTATCAAATCAGAATATACATAGTACCAATGACTCGTTTTCGTTGCAGCTATGATATAATGAGGATGTGTTGGATCGAGGATCCCAACGAAAGACCAACATTTAAGGATTTATGTGAGACATTAAGTAACTTACTCACTGACAACGGCGTACCGACTGAAACGCCCGATTACATGGTAGTAGTGGAATCAAAGAAGTAACGTCCCGACATTGACACATCGTTTTATGATCTAAGTGCGTGATTCACGTGTGGAGCGTTGTTAATCACAAAAAAGTTGTTTGTAATTGTGCAGCAATTAGGGGAGAATTTTCCATTTAGTGAGTGATCCAAACGATGCCCTTGACTAAATTAGCTTATGCAATTTACTTGTATGGACAGTGGTGTAATATACTTTTAGTATATCGACAATCATCTGAGAGTGCATAGACATTCGCAACTTCAAGAATTAATAATCCATGTACACTTGAACGTAAACGGCTCAATCAAATGTAAAGTGAATGGATTAATATTAGTGCGCTAGGATAGAAAAGCAATATCATAGAAAATGCGTCGGCAAAGATACTGCATAAATTCATCAGAAAATTCTAGATTAAAGATACAGAGGTCAATTAGAATTAGAATTGATCGAATCAAAGTACTTCTGGATTAAAGTCTTACATAATATGCATGAGCTTGAAGCATCATAAATAAAATGAGTTATACCTTAATTGATGAGTTTGATGACACACTCGATTCTTTCCCAATAGGAACATTCATGTACATGTGTGTACATACCAATGTAGATAGGACATACCCAAGAAGATATTCACTGGTTGAATATTTTGATATTCATGAGTCAATATTTGTATGAGAGATATGAATATTTTTGCTGTAACTGAAAAAGTAGTAGCGCGATTTTGTCCACATTTGATATGTTATGAGGTTGTGAATACTAAGTGATTGGTCACGGTCTTATGACACTTTGGTTAAATAATTCGAACGTCCTTGACTAAGTAAATTGCAATTTATATACTATATGAATTCCATTCTTTATTACATTAGCAAAATGTCTCAAGGCTCCTGAGTCAGAATCAGAGTCAGAATGAGCATAATGTATTTCCATTAGATAGGATAGTAAATAACTGAGACTTTTTGAACAACCCTTGTATAAATATTTTTGATTGACACATATTTGCAATAATTGTAAAATGTCTCGTAGTTCATAGAGATACGAGGCTTTTGTAGTCGACTAGTCATTCTTTCGTTGGTAATGATTTGGTAATATCAGATAGTTCTTGTGTTATGATTATGTATTTACATGTATTAAATACGATTTAAAACTTCATATTTGGATAATGATCAATGAGGTTTTGCCCAAGTATAGTCCTTTCATATAGATGCACCGAGAGATGCGTTATATCAATATAATACATGTTCGATTCTCAGATATATGTGTATTTCATCTGTATATATGTATCATATTTATGAACGTTTTGTTCACTGCTACCCACCTAATTACACAGACGTATCGTCGGTGTATCATGGCGGAACTTCCTCCGGGACTAGGTTTCGGTAAGATTTTTTTATTTCCCGATTTACACCTACTTATAAGTTACGTTGTGGATAATAATTTGGCTCGAAGTTAAGCAAGATAGTCTAGTTTGAGAATGTGTCGATGGTTTTAGGTTTTATATGTTAACAAAGACACAATTCACGTATTTAGTCCCTCGCTTTTCTTACACTGACGATCGGCATTAATATTGCCAATATTACACTGACATTGGTCGTTCGTCAGTGTAAGAAAAGCGAGGGACTAAATACGTGAATTGTGTCTTTGTTAACATATAAAACCTAAAACCATCGACACATTCTCAAACTAGACTATCTTCCTTAACTTCGAGCCAAATTATTATCCACAACGTGACTTATAAGTAGGTATAAATCGGGAAATAAAAAAATCTTACCGAAACCTAGTCCCGGAGGAAGTTCCGCCATGATACACCGACGATACGTCTGTGTAATTAGGTGGGTAGCAGTGTTGTTGACATAAAACGTTTTCGAGGTTGGCTTAATATTCAAGGTGCTGGTGTAGAAAGCGTTGACGTAAGAATTGCTCGTTTACTACGATATCCATGATTACGATTAATTATGGAATTCTTAACTTAACAAAGTTCTGGTCAATGACAATACGTCTATGGCTCACAGGCAAATTACATCGAACTCCATACAATGCCTTACGGAGCTCGTTGAGTCAACGGGCCTTCTACAACCTCGTACGGGCCTCGTTACGAGTCTCGTAATTGCATGTAATTTTCGAGCATCGTAAGAGCTTGTAGTTACAAGGCCCGTTATAGCTCGTAATTTTCGACCCCCGTACTTGACCGTACGGTGCCCGTGACGAGCCCCGTAATAAATCGTTATTCTCGAGGCTCGTACGAGCTCGCACGGGGTCCGATGTAATTTGCATGTATATACCTATACCCTGATGAAAATGAACATATACCTTGATGAACTACGTCTCATGTTGAAGAACTAAATGTACATATTAACAAATGTATAAACTTTGTAAATAATGTAATAATTGTTTGTACAAACGTTTACTTAAATGTACGCTTAGTCTATCAAATTAGAAGTACCAAAAACAGAAGTACCAAAAAGGTAGTGCTACGAAAGTTTATACAATCATTTGACATCATGTCCACGAATGGTTGATTATACTAAATATCACATATGTTTTCATTAATATACCTTTTATATATTTCTATATGATGTGTATACATTGCGGTATCATTTATCAAAGGAAATCGGCAAATCACAGCACTCGGTAATTATAACTAGCAATTAATAATAGCTTAATAACTGAAGATGTCAAAAGAGTTATTCATGTTATATTTTGCATATTTTCTCTCAGAGATTTCTATACTAGTCGCATGGGATTTAAGAAATCTATGTGCCACTGTTATAAGTGTTATAAGTGTTGACAAATAATTGATATAAAAACAAATAAAATAATGAGAAAAAAACAATACTTAATACCACAGGTATATTGCTTCTAGATGGGAAATGCACTTTTGGTTCAAGAGTGGGTGGAGTAGACTATTGATTGACTTGCAAACATCTAAAATGGATCATGTTAGGCTCAAGGACAAAAGTGATAGAACTGAATGTTTTTCATGAACTACAGTAATAACGAATAAAAATGTAACATAAACCATATTTATTGTTATATTGACATATTTTATTTTCTGCAGTGTCAGCCTGTTCTTGATTATGATTACAAATTGATGAAAACATCAATTTGCTAATACAGTTACGATCAGTACAAAACGTGTTTGCCACACAGCTTTTCTATTACATCGTCTCTCAAATATGATACAAGCTCCTTATTTCAATCAACCAACGTCACCATTCTGAGTGTATGTCATAACAGTTCCACTGTGCTAGCAATACGTTCACAACGATGAATATCTCCTGTGGTGTATGTCCAAGGTTTCTGTTTGAGCTATATCTCAGTTTCAGACGTCATTAATAATGTATCATGGCTTGCACCTTAGAATTCAATGCAACGTGTTGTCACACACCAAATTAATTACGTACGGCTATTAACAATTATAATCGACAACGTCACCCGCCTGTACAAATTGGTTGTCTATATCACGCACAAAATACAAAAATATGTGTTAGCAGGTTATTTATGCATGAATATATCATATCTACATTTCATTTATTCCCATAGATCGTGTAACGACAAGGCATGATCCAAATGTTTGCCTGAATCCATAATTACAGTGAGCTACTGTACTCTGATATCGGGTAGGGGGTCTAAATCATCAGCGGAACGAGTAAACACTCCACCCTTTGCATCCTTTCGACTTTGCTTCTTAAAAGAGAGCTTCGTATTTCACAAGACTCTGCGCGCAGGGTATAAATACTCAAGGTGAGTAAAATATTGTCAATTGGGGAAAATCTCTCAGAAAATAATGTTGAAGGAGCGCAAAAAGAAATGTAAAACTCAAAAGCTCAACCTATCACAATAAACAAACCTTAAAACCACATGCACGGGCAAACGGTATCACATGACCCCCCCCCCTGCCCACCATTAGATCCCAGTGTTCGAAACAAAATCAAAACTATATACCATGGAATATTTATTTGCCAATTTTATTTTACTTAAATAACATTGCTCCAACAAAGGAGTGGTATCGATATGGTGAACTTTTTGAACACGCGTTTCTCTTAAACCAGTCATCAAAACATTCTGGACATTTGACCGTCAATTTAATGGTCATTTTTTGGATGGTAACATTATGTATACTTTTCTCTATATTGTTTTAAAAAACACATCAGACACTTCTTTTGTTCTTGGTATCATATGTTCGGAATGAAATGAAACATCTATCCATATCTTATTGGAACAAAACGACATAAACACAACGTGTTTAGGTCTCTCAATATTGTAATTGTACAAAGAAAAGTTTGGTTGATTTTCAAAAAGTATCTTGTTAATGAAATAAAAGGATTATCTTTATTTTTATCTATTTTGGGGGGTTTTGTTTTAAGTTTTTGCATACTTTTTGTTAAATCAACCAAAAATTGTATAACTATAATATTAAGAGGTCTAGGAAAATTTTGTATATGCTATTTTGTCCAACAAGGTTCGGAAATACATTTTATTTCATTCCCAGGAATTGGTAGAAAGGAACAAAAAACAAAAAATGTTGACAAAAACAGTTATACAAAAGATATATAAATAATGTTTGCATTAAATCGTTGCCAATCAGTCAACATTACGTAAAGGACAGTGTTTTTTTACAGAATGTTTTCAATAATTGGTTTAGAGAAAAACATTGTTAAATTCATGGTACTAAAATGTCAATTCGCAAATTCCCTAAACTTTTTTTGTAAGTACGAAACTATCTTACATACTATTTTAAAGTCGTTTTTACGATTTTATAGATTGAATAAATGCCATATCTTGACGTGCAAAATCAACCCACATGCTCACGATTCAGTAATATTAGATATTGTACACCGATTGCAATATAATATCTGAACTGATACTTACTAAGCATCATCGTGACTTTGTAATACGACACGACACGATGTACAGTTTATCAATCTGTATGCACAAAAATAATGCTGTTTACTTCTACAAATATAAAAACTTACAAAACATACACCTTCCATGCAAATATACATACTCCAACAAATGTACATGAATTATCATTTCCAAATTGAGGCACTTCCGGTTATTTGTATTATCTATAAAGGAATTTTATTCCTACGCAGTTTTATTGTTATCATCCTATACTGAACAGACTGGGTCTGCTAAAACGAACGGTGAATCTTCACAATCTGTCAGTTCTATTTTCTTTGTAGGAGATTCTGAAATTGTGTACATACATACATTCTAACCTGCAAAGAGGGCTCATGTACAAGTATGTTGTGACTGAGACTGAGTGTGACCACTTTGAGCAAGTTATTCAAGACAAGGGCATTTAGTGATCAGTCTACCGCATCCCGATCACCTTCGCATATTGCACCAATGACGTCATTTATTTCAATGACATATACACCCTTGGTATACGCAGCTAACGAAAATTGACCGGCACGGGTCAAAAGCTGGACCGGCACGGGTTAACGGTTTTATTTGAATTTAAAATAGCCATAACTTGCTCAATAATGACTTCCTCGTGTCTAATTTGAAATATATGGTGCCTCCCGATGCTTTTAAGTACCCCAATTTTTTACAGATTTTTAAACGGACCAAAACTCTCTAAATGCGCATTTATGCTCTTTTCTCTCGAGAACGGCTATCTCATTTTCACGATAACTTTTATTTAGTACTTCTAACATATAAGATCTATTTTTCCCCATCAAGGTATGATGTAAATGACATGCTATTTACATCTTGTGAGTTTCAATGACGCGCGTTTGATTTTATAAAAAATGCCAAACTTTGTGACAAAGAATTTCATCCTGCTTGCAGTGAGAAGACGGACCGGTTCGGGGCAATCTGCTTGCAGAGAGAAGACGGACCGGTTCGGGGCAATAGCTGATGAAATTCTTTGTCACAAAGTTTGGCATTTTTTATAAAATCAAACGCGCGTCATTGAAACTCACAATATGTAAATAGCATGTCATTTACATCATACCTTGATGGGGAAAAATAGATCTTATATGTTAGAAGTACTAAATAAAAGTTATCGTGAAAATGAGCAGTCGTTCTCGAGAGAAAAGAGCATAAATGCGCATTTAGAGAGTTTTGGTCCGTTTAAAAATCTGTAAAAAATTGGGGTACTTAAAAGCATCGGGAGGCATCATGTATTTCAAATTAGACACGAGGAAGTCAATATTGAGCAAGTTATGGCTGTTTTAAATTCAAATAAAACCGTTAACCCGTGCCGGTCCAGCCTTTGACCCGTGCCGGTCAATTTTCGTTAGCTGCGTATACCAAGGGTGGTATACATCTGTACATGATTTACATGATACCGTGAATCCACGCGATAGTATCTCTTCGGGACGTATCGAAACCACTCCGTCCCGAAAAACCGTTAATTTGAATTTAAAACATACCCCAGTGTTTGAAAATCAAGGATTGTGAGTCTCACACTTCACCGTTTTTCTTCAAACTTGTTCCGTACAAAGCTTCACAGAAATACCTTTCAGTCGATACATTGTTTTCGTGTACAAAGTACCTCGTTTTAGCGGCGTTTTGGTCCCCAGCTGTGAGATAAAGCAAATTTTCATAACTTTCAACTGCAAGTCAAGTTATCTCGCCAGTCTTTTACCCATTCTCGCCCATAATTTCAGAATGGACTCCCATTACAGCTTCCATCGCTACGTCTTGATTTTTGGGCATCAAACGCAGCGGCTTATGGGCCATGTAAACCAGCATAGAATATGCAAATTAGATAGATACATATATGTATACATACATATATCAATGTATTCATGCATATATATATTATATGCCAGCACAGAATATGCAAATTAGATAGATACATACATCATTATATGTATTCATATATATGTATGATATATATACAAGCATGGAATATGTTAATTAGATAGACTAGATACATATATAGAACTAGATACAGAACAATTAATTTATTAGTTGGCATAGCATATGTTAATTAAATAACAATAATTCATGAATATCTTACATTGAGATATCTATGAATATGCTTTAATTTATGAGATATATGTGTATTGTATACATGTTATATATGTATGTATTTGTATATATCTTCTTAGCTGGTCCCCAGTCCCCAGTTCCCAGTTTGAGATATCTATATGCTATATATAATATGTATCTATTTGTATGCATATTTTAAGAAGGTCCCCAGTCCCCAGTTCCCAGTTTGAGATATTTATATGCTATATATAATATGTATGTATTTGTATTTATCCCATACTTTCCGGTGTTACAGGTACATAAAGCCAGTTTGTAAAAACTTATATTTTCATCAGCGGGCAGATAAAGCTTTACGTCCCGGTCCGAGCGGGCAGATATAGTATATCTGCCCGCTACGTCATAAACGCCGCTCGCATATCTGTTCATAATTTGTAACGTTCGCATAATTACTGTGAACGACAATGGAGAAAAACGCAGACAATCGCGATCTGTTTGATGGTTTAAAAAAGGGAAGGAGCATCCACTTAATCAATCAAAAATAAATCGAGAAAACAAATGTGGGAATATTTGAGAGAACAGGAAAATCCGCCCACGGCCAAGAAAACAAAACTGGACATGAATATTCTAAAATATTTCCACGATTGAACAGTGAACCAGATGACCAAGAATGGTATGGGATAAACATATTATCCTATAGTCGGTTCAGGATATTGGGATTATCCCTTGGCCAATATAATATATTTTCCCTCGGGACCTGCGGCCCTCGGGCAGATATATTATATTTGCCTCGGGATAATCCCAATATCCTGAACCTCATATAGGATAATCTCTATGTATCTTTTTAAGAAGGTCCCCAGTCCCCAGTTTCCAGTTTGAGATATCTATGTTTGTGTATATTTATGTATTTGTATGTAATTTATAAGTTGGTCCCCAGTCCCCAGTTCCCATTTTGAGATATCTATGTTATATGTATGTATGTATCTTCTAAGCTGGTCCCCAGTCCCCAGTTCCCAGTTTGAGATATCTATATGTAGGTATTTGTATTAAACATTGACAGAATATGAAATGAATATAACATCGTAACAAAAAAGTACAATTGTAAATCTAATATTTACGTGTATTAAACATTGACAGAATATGAAATTAATATTCACCTTTCCACAAAGTAAAGAAAATCGATAATTTCCGGCGCGCTGATTGGTTGCAAATGAGTCAAATCAATGATGTCAATGCCTGAAAGTTTTGAAGAATTAGTACAGCCAGCATAGGAATATTTTGAATTAAATGCAATAAAAAGGATTCTATTTGCCCAATGCACTAAATATTTACGGGGCACTTTCATTCCGAATCTTATGTAATTTAATTTAATCATTTTTTACAGAGCTATTGTTTTATTAAGACTTCTCAGATCAGCTTCACATACCAGGGCTCACATGTCTCGTGTGATTGTAAACAAAAAATGTAAATTGAGAAGTTAAAAACGACTTGATTAAATTATTTGATAGTGGTCATACAATATCCTGTTACTATGTCATAGTAAGAAATTCCATCAGAAATTCACCATGAGTAACATTCGCACAAAGCGTTACATTTTGGTACTTATTCTCCATCAGCGATGTCAATAATGATCAGCAATGTCAACATATCATCAATAAACATTGTATGATATACGCTCTTTCTCTGAAATCTTCCCAGTGATCATTATTCAAAACTGATCATCACATAACTAAATCCTTTGAAAAGTGAGGTTTTACAAGTGAAGTTTTCAGGACACCCTGCATATCCAGTTTTTTTTTATTAAGCGTTCTCATTCTCATTACTTTCAAGAAATCCATCATCATTTTGGTTAAGAAAAATTCTACAGTCTGCTGGATCTATTTTGACAGTTTTGCTTTAGCAAGATACTTTGACAAATTGACTGTTTCTACACTGAATAAAAAACATTTTCCCGGGAATATTTGGATCGGGAGATACGCAGCGGGAAATATACATTGGAATATATATACATGTTTACTTGGATGTGTTACAGGTATATATTACGGGATCTGTTTGAAGGTTTAAAAAAGGGAAGGAGCATCCACTTAATCAATCAAAAATTCGAGAAAATAGATGTGGGAATATTTGAGAGAACAGGAAAATCCGCCCAAGGCCAAGAAAACAAAACTGGACATGAATATTCTAAAATATTTCCACGATTGAACAATGTGAACCAGATGACCAAGATTGGTATGGGATAAACATATTATCCTATAGTTGGTTCAGGATATTGGGATTATCCTTGGCCAATATAATATATTTTCCCTCTGGACCTAGCTGCGGCCCTCGGACAGATATATTATATTTACCTCGGGACAATCCCAATATAAATGTACTGAACATCATATAGGATAATCTCTATATATGTCACGCTCCTCCAAGATATCAATTCTTTATCCCATACTTGGACGTGTTACGGGTACATAAAGCCGGTTTGTAAAAACTTATATTTTCATCAGCGGGCAGATATAGCCCGCTCCGAGCGGTCAGATATAGTATATCTGCCCGCTACATCATAATCGCTGTTCCCGTATTGGTTCTTTTTTGTAACGTTCGCATACTGTAAACCACAATTGAGAAAAACACAGACAATCGCAATCTGTTTGATGCGTTAAAGAAGGGAAGGAGCAGTATACCCCATTAATAATCAAAGATTTGAACAGGAAAAGAAACAAGCATACAAAACTGGACATTTTAAAATAATTCTACAGTTGGTTGCAAAGTTTCTGAACTTTGGCCAATTGAACAATGTGATTGGTATGGGATTAACAAATCATCCTATAGTCGGTTCAGGATATTTGGATTATCCCTTGGCCAATATAATATATCTGCCCGAGGGCCGTAATATCCTGAACCTCATATAGGATAATCTCTATATATCTTGATGTTTTCAAGTATAATATTTTCAAGATATGATCTGATATGACTTGCAGAAATAAATAGGAAGTAATCGTTTAGTTGATTAACTTAAAATAGATTGTCTATCTATTTATTTATATGCATGAGATACATGTTATAATGTTAGTGAACTAATGATTATGATAATTTCACCTGTTCACATCCAGTTCCAATCATGATTGAAAACTGACCGGAGTAATTCTCTTCAAATTATTTACTCATTATGAACAGAAATTTAATATTTCAATCGCTTAGAAGGCGTAAATAAATGCCAATTTGATGTTCAATAAAAATCCGTCAATACTTTACTGATTACTTGCACATTTGAAGAGGTAAAACTTACAGCAATCAACCGAGGATGTACATGTAAACTCAATTGCATTTGTTTATCGCGGGAAAAAGTTTCTCTCATTGAAGTCACAGATTTCTAAGCAGCTCATTATAATATTCATGAGCTGACTTTGTGGAAAGGTGAATAACATTGTAACAAAAAAGTACAATTGTAAATCTAATATTTATGTATTTAACAATTGTCTTCAAATATCAAGGTAAAATAACCGAAATGTTATCTGAGTAGTATTACTCCAGTATATTGCATGTTTAAAGTCCCCGTCTAAAGTTTGAAAATATTTTTTTATCATTCATTTACTATTTGTCAGGACTTAAAAAGTGATTTTAGAGATTTTTGAACAAAAAATTTTTTTGAACAAAAAAGTTGTGAGCATTTCATTTCTCAAATATTCAATTTTCCCGCCATTTTAAAAAAAAAGTTGAATCATCAAATATTTCTTAATGCATTTCAAAAAAGATTATCTTTTTAACACCAATGCAAAGATTGAACAAAAGACACACTATTTCAATAATAAAATGTCATATTTAATGGGCCACTTCAATGTTTTAGCTTATCAAAAATATTTTGAAACATAAGTGATGTCACTAAGGTAACAAAAACTTTTTGAAAAAAATTGAATTTTTTTTCCGATGTCAATCTTTTCTAAATATGCTGGACTTTCATAAAAAAACAATGTTGATTGTCTAACCAGGTTAAAAGGAAGAATAAATTATGTTTTAGATATCATTGTACCATTGGTTTCTATGAGAACTAAAATTTTGAAATGCATTTTTCTCAGAACCATTTTCATGCACTGATAAGTTCATTTCTCGCTTGTTTATCAACCGATTTTCTTAATTTTTTCGGCAAAAAAACATGGGAGGATGAATGCTATGCATTGGTATGAATTGTGGCTAATTACAAGATATGAGTGACCTCTAAAAGTTGGTTTTAAATAAATTCACAAATTTTGGAACAAAAAGTCCATCAAAAACCACTTTTTGAAATTTAAAAAAAAAGTTTCACATATCACACTTTGATAACATTGGGTAAGACTACAATATAAGCCAAAGTGGTTTAAACTTTACACGGGGCCTTTAAGTTATCTAATATTTATGAGCATTTTAAAACCTATTTTTTGACATATAGCATCAATCAATTTGTACAGATTTTTATTCTTCTGTTTGGGTTTGAGCTGCTAGTTCATAATGAAGGTGTTATATTTTTTCTCTATCTGATCTAATACTGGCCACATGAGCACACCAGGTAGATATCAGTTACACAAACTTTAGAGCAACGTTTAACATTAAACTTGTATATTTAAGTTCACTGAGTTACCCTATATGTGGAAATAAAAGACATTAGCGCAACCAGCAGACCAGGGGGGGCACGATTGCCAAATTTTTGCTATTAGCTAGAAGCTTCAAACAAAATACATTTTAAAGCTCTTATTTTTATTGGTCATCGCCCCCCCCCCCCCTCCTGGCTACGCCTATGATAGGTATATAGGTCAAAAATGGTAAGCGGCAATGGTCATAGTATGTCTAAAAATATAAGTGATTCCAATGTAGATATTTTAAACTCATATTTCATTATAGAAATTTTATTCCAGACTTAACAGAACTGTAACTTTAAAGAACTCTTTAAAATTGTCTTTGAATTATACATTGAATCAGCCTGAAACCTATCTTCTAGAGGAAAACAGTTAATCCAGTCAAGACTACAGTAATGAGACAAACCCATAACTTACATAACTTAAATAATCTGTCTCCAGATTGGAAAAGAATTATACAGTTATATGAAGCACTATAAAGCTGATAAGCTGTTAGTTATCCAAACATATGTGTCTACTTAAGATGGATCATTTTATGTCTTATCTTGATACTGAATTTAAATAGAGAGTCAATTTCAGAAGCTTTCAGTCTAATGTATTGCAATGTATTATGAATTCTCTACCTTTTCAATATATTGAAGCAAAATTAGAAAAAAGTTTAAAAAAAACCAAAAATAGATAAAAATCAAGATAAACCTTTTATTTCATCAACAAGATACTTTTTTAAAATCAACCAAAATTTCCTTTGTACAATTACAATATTGAGAGACTTAAACATGTTGTGTATATGTCATTTTGTGAAAAACAGGTTCGGAAAGATGTTTCATTTCATTCTGAGCATATGATACCAGAAGCAAAAGAAGTGTTTGATGTGTTTTCTAAAACAATATAGAGAAAAGTATATACATTTTTTCAAATTATATTGTTACCATTCAAAAGATGACCATTAAATTGACGATATGTAATTTTTAGAAATTTTTGATGACTGATTTAAGAGAAAAGTGTGTTCAAAAAGTTCACCATATCAATACCAATCCTTTACAGGTTCTCCTAAATATCCAGGATGTCAACTCTTCAGTCTATATGGAAAGGTTAAACTTGTGACCAGGATAACAAAAAGGTCAATCTTTTTAATTTTCACATATTTTGTTATATATCAGATAGACATTGAAGTTCTGCCTAAATAAAATCTGGCTGTTCTTGGATTTTAAAGTGTTATGTAAAGATGATAACTTAAATGACTATTAGATGACTCTTCCACCTACACCAGTCCAGTCTATACCATTAAACATGCAATAAGAGAAGTTAATATACAGGGTGGTCCAAAAAAGTGAACCCCTGCAACAGGCTATATTTTCCTTAATACTTGCATGAATAGACTCATATTATCACATGTTGTAGAAAAAGGTCTAAAATTTTGGTTGATGCCATAATCTATTCTCTGTCTTAAATTTTGAAGAAATCACATCTAAATGAGGTTTTATATAGAATTCATCCTCAGTGTATATTGCTATCAACTCATAAAAGAGAATGGATCAATATGAATCTTGAATGATTAAAATTTACTTTAAAATAGTTTACATACTTTAACATAGAGATCTCGAAATGGGAACTGGGGACTGGGGACCAGCTAAGAAGATACATAGTTGATACAAATACATATATACACAAACATAGATATCTCAAACTGGGAACTGGGGACTGGGGACCTTCTTAAAAGATACATACAAATACATACATATTATATATAGCATATAGATATCTCAAACTGGGAACTGGGGACTGGGGACCAGCTTACAAGATACATACAAATACATACATATTATATATAACAATATAGATATCTCAAACTGGGAACTGGGGACTGGGGACCAGCTTAGAAGATACATACAAATACATACATACATATTATATATAGCATATAGATATCTCAAACTGGGAACTGGGGACTGGGGACCTTCTTAAAAGATACATACAAATACATACATATTATATATAACAATATAGATATCTCAAACTGGGAACTGGGGACTGGGGACCAGCTTAGAAGATATATACAAATACATACATATATAACATGTATACAATACACACATATCTCATAAATTAAAGCATATATAAATATAATGAATTATTGTTATTTAATTAACATATTCTCTGCCAACTAATAAATTAATTGTTATCTATCTACTGTAGTTCTATATATGTATCTAGTCTATCTAATTAACATATTCCATGCTTGTATATATATCATACATATATATAAATACATATAATAATGTATGTATCTATCTAATTTGCATATTCTGTGCTGGCATACATAGATATATGTATGTATACATATATGTATCTATCTAATTTGCATATTCTGTGCTGGTTTACATGGCCCATAAGCCAACGCAGCAGTTTCTAAATCATCCACACATCTCTTCAAATTTGACCAATACGTCCCGTCATCTTCCACTACGCCCCGCCGAGTCTATCACTATACACGTAGAGTTGCATTCTAAAACAATTTGTCCATCGATGTGTCCGTTTGTAGGTTGCCATTGTCGATTCTAAATACCAATCGGATTGTGTTTTAAGATTTACCCATTCTTGTCCATTTTCAATATACCTATAATAGGGTGGTCCAAAATCTCCCTAAAATTTAGATTTCCCGATATTGCAATATAAAGATTTTAATTACTGAACAATTGAAAATATTTTTAAGAAACGTTTAAAGTGCCCTATCCTTGAAAAAATGTTAAAATGCGAAAGGATGGGTGATGTCAATTATATTATTTTCAGCATAACGTTAGAAACATGTATCATTTTATATGGTACACGTTTCATAATGTAATCCAATGGAATCATACAGAAGAAAGGTTGACACACAACAGTTAAAACCTTTATATTACATTATCAGACCAAGTCAGTAGATGTTGTTTATATACCAATTAGTGTTGTATGATGATGCATTCTTTATATGAATCTAGAAACGTTTATGTGCCAATATTGCTCAATTTTGATAACATCTCCGTTATTTTGAAATTAAGCGTGGCAAAGTTTCCCGATGGATTTAGCTAAAAAAAAGTGGTGCCTGTAGGGTTATTGAAAATCATACATGATGAAGAAAAAATACATATTCCTGAAATACAACAGTTTAATTTAGAGTTATAAACCATTTATGAAAACGGCATATTTGTCAAAATTACCAAAACTTCAAGTGAGACGCGTGGCAAAATTTCCCAGGGGTCTAAAGTGGAAATATTTGTACCAAGAGTCAATTTGTAACTAGAATCTATCAGATGACAGATTTTTGGAAAATTTTGCAGATTTGGACAACCCTAACCTATAACTTTGTTGAACCTGAAGAACGGAGCAGACCGGAAAAAAGGAGACTAGGACCACCTACGCTTTTAAACTGGTCTAAAAGGGTAGGTGGTCCTCTCAAATTATGGTCCTAGTCTCTATTGATTTATATAGTGACCTAATTACAACTATTTCCTTATTATTTATACACAATCATCAGGGCCAGAAAGGGCCGTTAGGAAAGGGGACCATAATCCCCAGGGGACCATAATTTCTTTCACACCGGCTTTTTTAGTGCTTTGCCTTGGATGTCATACAGTACATTTACACTGTGGCATGATGATGAACTTAGAAAATATGTTTAGTCATGACAAAATGTTCTTTGTGATATAATATTGTATAGTATCATTCTGATACGTATTACATGTTTATGTTTAGTGCATAAAATTCATAGCCAGATCAATAATTCGGAGAGAATACGCTGGACGATAGAATATTAAAAGCTATAAAAACATTCTTCATAGAATTAAGCAAATAGTGTTATTATCATTTAAGTAGTAACTGCATATGTTTAAAACCACTCTGTTTAAATAAAAATAAATAAATAAAAATGATGCAATGAAAATTGAAGCTTTCTGTCGAGAGCAATAGTCATCACAATAGTATAGCGTTTTTTCTTTTACATGTTACTTTTTGAGGTGTTTTAAAAATGTTTTAGAATACAACTCCACGTTTGTAGTCATAGACTCGGCGGGGCGTAGTGAAAGGTGACGGGACGTATTAGTCAAATTTTAAGAGATGTGTGGATGATTTAGAAACTGTTGCGTTTGATGCCCAAAAATCAAAACGTAGCGATGGAAGGTTGTAATGGGAGTCCATTCTGAAATTATGAGCGAGAATGGGTAAAAGACTGGCGAGATAACTTGACTTGCAGTTGAAAGTTATGAAAATTTGCTTTATCTCGCAGCTGGGGACCAGAACGCCGCTTAAACGAGGTACTTTGTACACGAAAACAATGTATCGACTGAAAGGTATTTCTGTGAAGCTTTGTACGGAACAAGTTTGAAGAAAAACGGTGAAGTGTGAGACTCACAATCCTTGATCTTCAAACACTGGGGTAGGTTTTAAATTCAAATTAACGGTTTTTCGGGACGGAGTGGTTTCGATACGTCCCGAAGAGATACTACCGCGTGGAATCGTCAGTGCAAATTTCGTATGAAAAAAGAACTGCAAAATTATTATCTTCAACTGTGTTTCATGATCTATGTTCATTGTTCAAACATATATGTACATTTTTAACGATGTCATGTAACTGAGTAATTACGATACCATCTTGTCTGGGATATACACTATACCATCAAATAAAATCAAAATCCCATTTTTGTCCAAACCCCTATCCAATCCCGTATTCAAACCCGGTTACCCAGTCCCATATTTGGTAATTTTTATTTTGCTATTTAACAAAGTCTATGACCTTTTTTGGACTAAAAAATTAATGACTTAATGCATTTTATCATATTGTCGTTAGGCATAATTAAAATACATATATTCAATCCCTTTCAATAATCAAATTATCTTTGTTTAAAATCCACATCTTTTAATTACCCTGTTAGATTCTGGATTTTGAAGCCCTGTGTACAGAGGATGGTTATGCATGCATGTAAATATATAGGGTATGCTGCCCCATTTAATGCATTTATTAACCATACTTCTCATACTCAATGCAAAAGGAAATACGCCTATACTCCTAAAAGTATTCCTTTGACATATCCTTTTGCTCAACAGTCTTATCAATGACGTCAGCATATTGAGGAGGTGCTCCTTCAGATACTGTGATGTTTACTTGCGCATGCGCGTCGTTGCCATTTCCGGTGGATGGACACGGTTGGCTAGCTGATTGTCGTAATGGACGATTTGAAATGTTTGCCTCTGGGGGAGATGAGCTAAAACTGTAGTTGATTTGAGGTCCACTGAAAACAGAGAATGTAAGATATATAGAAGATATCATAAAACAGTCACTTTTATAGTGCCATGATTCTCTGAGACTAGCGATGTTATTTCATTAGTAATATGCTCTGACATAATTTCTCCATCCTAGTCGGGGTCCTAGTCAGGACTTGACTGAATAAATGAGTTTCAACTTATAGCAGTCACAATTGAAAGTTTGATTATTGTAAATCATGATTAAGTAGTACTTGTTTTATGCGTTCCAAAAAGACGCATATTATAAAATATTGTCACTCTAATAGTTTTAAAAGAAATAAATCGGTAACATGAAAAAAATAGTTTTAGTAGATGATAATAACAGACACTGCACGCGTTAAATCAAGCCTCGTTCACTGTTCGCGATCGGTTGCAAACACTTGAATCGACTAGTTTACCAGGTATTTCATTTGATATATTTTTCTATGCAAAATCTCCACCAGAATGACAAAAAATCATAAATTGACTGGTCCCTTATAACTGGGAAGCTTCTCTGTATTTCTAGGTTGGATAACTTTTCTCTGACAGCTGAGTTTGGTGCCATTACCAATTATCCACACATTACAAACATTTTCAGCCCAAACAATTTTCCTCTTGTATAAATCATTAATAAAGACATTCCTCAAATCCATGTCTGAACCCAATGGGAGAATAGACATTCGCGGATTTTTCGACAAATCTTTCAATTGTTTCATTGTTTGTATAACGTGATACCCGCCTTCGCTGTTTTAAATTTATATAAATATGCGCTGAGTGTTGTTAAATTGGTTACCTGTCTGGATTTGTGAAATATTGTGTCTCTGGTCTTGCGGGTACCACTGGTTGTTGCTCCTGAACCTGGTTCTGGTAGTCTATCGTGGTGACGCTTGTCATGGGGGTCCGATTCGTCTGGTAATGCACGAGTGGAAACTGTTGTGCTCTTCTGTAGAATACAATACATGCTATTCCAGCGACTACAATAAGCAATACGCCTATCCCAAGCAGCACCATTCCCAATATAAATCCAGTACTGTTTAATTGTATTATAAGTATGATTAAGCCCGTAATTGTAATTGATATTCCAAGCCCAATAGGCACGGACATTAGGACAGGTGAAATCACACGTTTATTTTTACGTTGAGCTTTTTTGTCTGTTTTGTCTCCCTTTTTGCTACGTTGAGAATGTCTATGTTCTAAATGTGTGCCACCTGTACCCACTCTCATGTGACCCCATTCGGGATGGGCCTGTAGTCCACTGAGCGGTCTTTCATCCGGGTTACTCGCTGACCTCAACGTCACTTCCGCATTGGGATTGTTTTCAGCGACAGCAGCGACGCCGCTATTACTTGTCCTGCGAATATTCTCATCGTTAAACTTTACGGAATCTGCAACTACGACATCATGCTTTTTTATAGATTCACATCCAGTTTTAGAGTCTGTGTCGTCCATTTTTATTAATTGAAGCCGATATTTCAGGTGGCGCCTCTCTTAGATTTGAAGATCTGTCCTTCGAAAAGCTGCATTATTCAGTTTAACTATATTCTGCGCCTGTAAAAAAGATGAATTGTAAGTTCTAGCTTGATATATCTCTAATTACCTTCATCAATTTTTTGCACCTGAGCCATTAATTTGCATCATACAATTATCGGTGCATGCTAACTTTCTATTGCAATTGCCTTCACTTGAAATCATTTGGCAAACAAGATATTAAGGCGGCTGAAAAAAGATGCTTGGGCGATAAACGACATTTTCAGATAGGCTTGTTAGGCCCCAACTGATATGACCAAGAATAAAAATATGAATATATAATATTAGACGTTCTAGACGTTAATGCATCAGTCACATTTGATCTACGGCGAAAGTAGCTTCCCAAAATCGAGATTTATGGAGCACAAAAATAGGGATAAGCAGTAAGATTTAGATTTTCTATATATTTTGTGAAGCTACGGCCGCAGTAGAGCAACTGTGACTGAGGCTTTTTGTTTCGTACAGCTGGTAGTGACAATAGTACAGGAAATTAAAAAGCCATATTTATGTTCACCAATTCTCGATAACGTTCAACTTGATTGATCGTGGCATGCTGTAGCTATACTTAAGTTCAGGCGTGTTCATCAATTTTAATATGTAACCGTTCGAATTTGACTTCCTGGGCAATTCCTTCCCCCACATTATATATTTTACTTCCGCCTGAAACATGTACTCTCCCATCTAAAAGTCTAGTAACCCCGACCACGTTTAATAATGTAAAATAAATAAATAAATAAAATACATATTTCCTCAATTACATTCATCAGTTGAAAACGGAAAATTAAAGATGAAAATAAAGACGTTGGTGGTTTTGCCAAACATTTGGAGGGGAGTGTAAATTGTTAGGCCTTGGGCATTTCCTATGACCGTCCCTAGGCAATAGCATGTCGCAGTGGATTATCTGTGGATTCTCCCCTCTTACAAGTCAAATCAATAAACAGCCGTGTCTTACTCAGACTCAATGACCGTTCAAATATGATGACGAGGACCCTTAACCTGACTTATAATACAATAAACAAAATTGATCGATTTCTTTAGACTGAAGTATCCTTCAGAACACTAAGACAGCTGTGATTATCCATATCCCTTTAATACTATTTCAAAACAAGCTCATACTTAAATGCACTGTTGCAGTGCTTGCCCAAAACCGCGAATCTCTTTTCCTAATTTCTGTATGAGTTATATGTTTTGTATTTCTGAGACTTTAGTGTAAATGTTAAGATAAAAGTGTGTCCATCTGTATGTTCCTCGTCCTATTAACTCGCTACAGTTCCTTAAAAGGTTCAATAAGGCGAGCTTTTGTTGTCATGGATACGTTACACCTGTTCTCCTTTAGGAGTTAAGAATGAAAAGCCGTTCTTCCACATTCATGATATTCTTTGAACCTCCCTCGGACAATATTATTACAGATAGTGTTAGTCGAGATTGACTTCCAGGATAGGACTTGACAAAGTACTACCCTGTGCGCAGTCTAGTAGACAAACACTGGTCTATTACAAAATGTGGCAATAGGCAGCATTTGACAAAGGACAATATTTGACAAAGAACAAAATTAAAAGGCATATAACAATACCAGCCACTTTAAATCATAAACACGATAGTTTAACTATTAATCTAACAACGTTCGTTATGATAGTCTTTGTACACATTGCCTCCATATTAATCAATACTAGTAATAAAGACATCCAGTTTTATAGTTCGTATCACACTTTTTATCATGAACACATACAAGGGTTGTTAAGCAACGGGTTTTAAGAGAACATTTACGTGAATGTGTAGAATTGTGGTCCTCTGTGGATTGCCCCCCCCCCCCTCTTGTGTAGGCTTTACCTGCCTGAATGACGATATAAATGTATATGAGGAAAACATTTGTTATTACAAGAAGGTCCCTGGGAAATATGAGAATGGGATAGTAATCATTTCATAAGATAACACCACGAAAAGGTTCCCTGAAAACGTATAGCTTAACTTCCCTAGCCTACTAACGCATGCAGTTTTCACCATTCTGAGCACAAGTGATTTTGGGCCCAAGTTATCAAATATGACCCCCCTGGAATCTTTTGAAAAGTGAACCCCTTGACAAAATGTTCCAAATTTTGAGCACTATCAAAAAGTCACGTTGATTACGGCTACTAGAGAATTTACCTATATTGACTTTTCCTCTATTTCAAGAAAGATCGTCCCCTTAGAAGTTCATTGTTCAGTGCTTAAAAAACATGTGTGGTTGGTTCCTGGCCGGAGCTCTGGAAGTTGCAAGTGCCATTAGTAGCTGTAGATGTGGTGATCCTGCAAATCTAACATTCTGTTTCGTCTTTCTCAAAATTCAGAGCGAAGTATGGTAACGTTGGTCATGTTCAAGCGATACGATACATGAGGTTCAACAACAAGTTCAAATTATACATACCTTCCTCCGTCTTTAATGTCATATCAAGCTTAAAACTAAGATAATCCTCGTTACAATTAATGCTCCATGGCGCTAGTCGATATGTTTTTCCTTTAGATTAGATTCAATTTTCTCCAATTTAGTCTTGCGATTCACATGCCACACCTTCATCACCGACATGAACTGCAGTCCAGTAGTCGTGTTGCCTGTTGCCTTCACCTTTTGGGTGTGGCTAGTATCTCCGTCAGCATAATGACGCCCAATGCAGTGTCACCGCTGACTGGTATTGGTTTCATATGTCGTAATGTACATGTTGTTATTACTACATAAAGCCGCATGTGGAGAAAATCAGAATCAACGCTCGATACAAGGTACCAGATTAATTTGTTGATTGTCTTGCCAGTAGTCTGCCTCATTGTTATCAGATACCATATACGCCCATATATTATATTGATCGATCGAATCTAGACTTTAGATTTTCATCATCAAGGTGGATATAAAACACCTCCCTTTAGGAGTTCTATACTTTATACTATTCTGTATTACATACCTAGCGAAGCATTTGTATGGAAGTCAATGGGAAAGTTAGCGAGCTATATCCACCGATATTGCCCGATTACCCCGATATAGCCCGCTTACCTCGTTTTGATATTAGATTTCTTTAATAACCATGATAATATCATGACGTCACGTCATTGATACAAAGTAACCATGGGAACAAAGGCATGTAATACATCAGTTATGTCACTATGACGTGAAATATGCCTTCGTTCTTGCCCAAATATAGAGCCTCCCAAGGTCGGCCTATATTGGGAGAACTCAAGGAGGATTGGAAGCCAGGGTTCCAACTCGATATTCTTTAATCTCCACGCATGCGTCATTTGCTATTCGTGTCTGTATAATTTGTACGACTGCATGGAGAATGACCCGATACTCTCCAACAAAGCTATCGCTAGGTGATTGTTTTGCAGAATATCGGTGTTGCATTCTGGGAGCCAATCCTCCTTGGGGAGAACTCAGGCATATTTCACGTCATAGTGACATAACCTCTAAATATATTATATCTATTACGGGAGTTCAATCTTTTTTATTCCACCATTGTTAAAGCATATTCATGTTGAAATCTACATTATATGATATTTACAAAACCTGATAAATAAGCTGGTTATACGAATTGACACATTCTTTTCCAATAGCTCTGGTTTCTCAGTGTTTCGACCGTTGCATTGATTCGAAAATGACAAACTTTTAATCAATGATCCTAAAATCGCATTTGTTATGAACAGTGGTTTGTATAAAATGTAAATCTTTGTATTTTTTTATTGGAAATTTTTGGTTTCTTCTCTTCATCATAGTTTAACCAAAAACACTCGGTTTATTGTATGGTTTACGCTCGTTTTTGCTCTATACATTTTAAAGCGATTGACGAAGTTTCCAGTCTACAAACGCAAGTGATTTCAGGCACAGGTTTCAGTGGTGCCACCTTTTACCACCAACCATAAGACGAATAGAGACATTATAAAATTCTGATGCTGATAGCCTACTAATTAATATAATGGCTATAGATAGGTAAATGCCATGTAGGCTCCGCTATGATTCATATCATATTTCTATACGTTTTGCCATGACCAAATCTGAGGATTTTAGTGCCAGGTTAAAGGATTTTTATGGAGAGTGTAGATGAATCTTTTTTAAGTTTAGTAAAACGTTCAAAAATACGAAAGCAACACTAACTACACCGGTCAAGCTCTTTGTCTTTGGTATTAAACAATTTAGATGAATTTCGACCCAAAGATCTAACCACTCGGGGAAGGAGAATATTTTACTGCGATACTGATACGTGTCAATCTACTATATTTGTAAATCGTGATCGTCTTACTGACTTACTGAGTCGACAATCTAAAAATATACGTCGATCTTTTAGCATTAACACAATTAACACCGGTACCGGTCGTGTCTTGACTATATTTGTCACGTTTAAAACACTCTGTGGAAGCGCTAAAGTTCAGATAAAAATCGTGTTTGGAGCACAATTAATCAATGTGATTAATTGATTATGTAGAACAGTAGAATATTTGCAAAGGAGTGTTTCTTTGACATTTGACTGTTTAAATATATTTTTTATCTTCTATCCCGTCAGTCAGCGTCATTTGTGGACTTTTCTTTAAATCAATCACCCAATGTGATATCGTTCACAATGCATGCTTATACCCGTTGAGTATAGGGACGTTCATTTTCATCCACATGTAATAGCAGAAGGAACGAGCAATGAGTACGTTCTATGACGGCTGGCGTATGTGTCAATCACGCACAAAGTTCATTACTTTGCTTTGCATATATGTTCCTGAGAGGTGGTGCTCGCCATGTGCTTGTTTTCGACCTGAACCAACTTGTCACCTCGATCACGGTTCAACACTATGCGAATTTTAAACATTTTTTGGCAAAATAACGACTTACTTTTGAACTTCATAGTATTTCCAATGGATTGATAAGTACGCTATGTTTCATTAGGCATCAAAACAGGTCAAACGGGCCACAGCAAAGCTTATAGTAACTATAAAAATATTTTCGATCTGTTAAATTTTTATATATCAAGTTTTTACCAATGTCAATGAAAGATGGCGAAGTTTTTTGTAGTACATGATTCATTCATTTTTATACAAGTGTCGCCATCTTTTAAATCAAGAGTTATTTAAAAAATGCACGGAATACGGAATACCGTGTTCTGATTGGCTGGAATTTGACACATCTTGCCTTGCTTTATCCGATCATATGTTTGAAATTGAACGATAAGCAATGAACCTGGTGGCGACATCTAATGAATTACTTACTGTTCAAAGAGAATGCAAAATAGAATGACGATATGAGCAATGCTACGTCTCCATATAAAAAACAACATTTAATTGTTATTCAAATATTTAAAACCCTGTTATGCCTTACACAAAATACACGCATGGTTATTATCATCATACATTGAAAGAGATAATTCAATTAGAGCGTGCACAAATAAGCGACTAGATAATCGTGTATTCAATTTGAAATAAAAAAAGAGTTTAATTTTGAAAAAATAATCTAATAAAAATAAAGCTATATACCATTCATAGATGTTATCAATGTGATTATGAATGAATGAAAATACAACCTTTTGCGGCTTTGTCCTGATTCTTCAACCGTTGGTTTATCCCTGAACAAACTCCATCGACGATTTGTGGTTTATGTTTAAAGTGTTTATTTCACGTCCTCAAAACATCACGAATCGACTTAAGTGTAAGGTAACAAAAAACGAATATCGCCTTAGAGACGTATTCAAATTGAACTTTGACTCAGAAGTTCCACAAAAAACACAAAAACTTTTACTATCACAAAAATACTAGTTAAATAGTAACTCAGACTTATCGTGTTCAGTATATCACCCATGACAAGTTCCGTTAAAATGTACATACTTTAGATATATACACTGTTGCTCATAAATATGGAATATTAGATTTGGCAGCTCAGAATTCAAAGTTTGGAGTAAGAGAACATTTATTTGGAGTTGGTTCAGACATTTATTTTCCTGGCAAATCATAACCATATATTTCATCTACAAATCAACACTTTTTAGAGAAAAAATATTCACATTTAAGTTTAGAAAATTACTGTTATTTAAACAGGGGTACGCTGAGAATTTTTGCATTTTCAAAACACCCCGATCCAAATCGTCATGTAAATCAGATCAAACAAAATAAACATCTGGTCATGAAGATTAAAGTGTCCTCTATCCAATGATAGCACTAATATGCGTTATGTCCTCTTTGTGCTGCAATCAGAGCATTAACCCTACTGGACCAGCATTGAATGAAACATCTGACCTTTCTGAGTGAAATAAGGCACCATTCCTTAATCTGGGCAGTGCGTAACGTGTCTAAATTTTGAGGTGAGGGTCCAAGTCACGAATCCCATTACAAAGGTCGTCCCACATTTGCTCTGCATTAGCCTGATTGGCTGACTTTTGTGCCCATGGTAGCTGGTCCACATTGCGTGCCCTGATGTAATCCAACACGATGCCACTAGCATATGCATCAGCATGATCATTCTGCAGTTGAATGTTGCCCCAAAACACTCTGTTTGCATGTGGTACTTGATGGAGGTCCAAAAGGTCAAATAACTCTGAAATTATGTTTGGGAATCACCAAGGGGGTGCAACTTCTGTAGTACTGCTCCAAACAACCTCTGTAATACTGCTCCAAACATAAATAGGGTCGCCTTCATTGGGTGCCACATCAGTAAGTGTCTTTATTGTCTCTTTCCCCTGGTCTACGACAGAAACGAATACAATTATCAACTTTGTGGAGGACACATCTTATTTCTTCACATGCTGTCATATGACACCAAAGATTAGGTCCAGCGTTTTTGGTGCTTTCCTGCCCACTGAAGGCACCTTTCTTTGTTATGATCAGTCAGCTGTGGTCTCTTTAAAGGTCTCATGGCCTTGCATCCGTTATAAAGAAATCATTGGTTGTCTATAGCTCTGGAACACGGGTTTTGAGGTGGGGCAGCCATTCACCTCGTAGACTACTGGATGACTAATAAGCGATTTTGATGACATAAATGCAGCAGATGGTGTCTTTTCTTACATTTTTCTCTCTAGGGCTACTATTGCTGTGACCTGGAGTCATATTCCAGTGCATTTGGTACCACTGCAAAATTTTAGAGACTGTTCCTGACACACCCCTAGGGTCCTAGCAATGGCAGTTTGTTTCATGCCAGAGAGCTGCATCCCTATGACCTGCCATGCTCTTTTTGGCTTATTCTATGGGGCATGCCTTCTAAAAACTCTTCCAATTCTAAATTGATTTTTTATAAAATGTGCACAATGATTACAACCAAGATTTGGACACCTCTTTCAAGTTACCAATATCATGAGGTCATGGGGTCACCTGAATGAATACAAGTTTAATCATCCATAAATATTTTAACTTTTAATACCAATCAGTTTTATATGCAAAACTGATGAGGGAATGAGAACACATTACAAATTTTCATCAAAATGTTATCATTTTGTAGAAATTCCATCGAACAGTTCATATCTATAAAATATTCCATATTTATGAGCAACAGTGTATAGTTTGTCTCCACGTTTGTCATAATTTTAGCTTTTAAAATACACTAATCATCGCTTTCAGAAAGTATTCCAGTATTACAGACAGTCGTGTTGGGCAAAAAGGTTCACGAGCGATCTCGTCAATTGTTAAATGAAAAAATGTAATTGGTAAAAATAAAGAATTAGGAATGAGCGCTAGTATGAGTACAAAGACCATTTAAAGATGTCTCTCGTAATCAAGTTTCATATCGAGTATTGGAAATGTGTAATTTGTACTTGTGAAGTTGTAAGGTTTCAAATGTCCCTTGTGGAAATGATCAATAGGCAAGCAACTAAATAGAAATATCGATCCTACTCTAGAAATAATCTCCTCG